CTTGTGCTGAGGCGGTTAAAGTAGTTTCCTGTCCACTGCAATTAAGAACAAAAGTGCATAAGCAGAGCCCTGCTGGATCAGACCAAAGCTCCATCTAGCCCAGTAACCTGCTTCCCACGGTGCCCAGACAGATGCTCATAGCTCTGGAACTCATGGGCTTGCAGTGCAGCTGAATGTTGGAAGATTCAAGACAGATAAAATAAAGTACTGCTTCCTGAAGCATGTAGTTAAGCTATGGCACTCCCTCCCACAAGAGGCAGTCATGGCCACCAACCCGGATGGCTTTAAAAGAGGATTCATCAGATTCATGGAAGACAGGTCCATCAATGGCTACTAGTCACAATGGCTTTGCACCTTCATCATGTGTCCATTTCTGGTCAGCGGGTTATACAAGGTTTATGGCATTGCCGAAACATGGAAAAGCTATTTGATCCCTGAGCCTGGGAGCAGAAATGAGTATGTACACTAAGATTGAGGGTACCATTTATTCCATCTTAGATTCCTCGTGGAAAAAGAATTGTCTGCCTCCAGTCTGGGTTGGGGGAGGACAGCCTCTCCCCCCTCTCGTTTCTGTACTAAGCAGCAATCTTGTCAGAAAATATTTAGTCAAGGATGCTGTGATGGGCATTTGAAAATGATGAAGAGCAAAGAGACCTGTTTTAGTGAATGGGTCACTGAACGATTGTGTCATGTTTTCCTTCCCAAGAAGCATCTCAAAGCAATTTACAATCTATGTAAAAGAGTTATATATGTATAAACAACTGAAACAATTGCATAAATAAAAACAACAATTATAAAAACAGTTTAACAACAGCACAGACATAAAATTAATCCAGCCCTAGGATAGAATCCAACTGGGGTAAAAATCATAGAAGGCTAGTTGAAAAGGGAATATCTGTAGTTAACATCTTATCAGGTGGGTAGTGATAATTGGGTGGCTCCTGAAACCATGGATTGTATCCAGCATTAATTTTACTCAGAACTGGCTCATTCTTATGGTTCTTTTGAGTAGGGCTTACCTGGATAAAACTCACTAGTTTGAAGAAATGAAAAGGTTGTGGACCATTCTTAGGGGAACACAATTTAAATCCATGGTCTATAGACCCCTAGTATATTGTGACTGTAAGCTGGGAGAGTGAATGTGATAGCAGGAAGATTTGGGGGCGTATGTCCACTAACCCCTTGCTACCCTTTATCATCATCCCTGGCTGACAAACCCAGGAGAACCATCCCTAAGGTAAACAAAAGGGGGGCAAAAGATACTTTAATCAACGTTGTCATATCCATGGCTTCCTATTTTTTGAAAAAAAGGAAGAAAAGGGCCAATTTATCACAGAGACAGAGAGAGTGCACATGTCTATATATTGAATCAATGGCTAGAGATGCTGCAAGCATTATCATCCTACTGATGAATAAAGTCCATATTCCTCAGAGCACTGGGAGAAGCCTTTGATTTTGATGTGTTTTACGTGGGCAAAAGATGAAATGGAGTGTGTTATCCGGAGTCTGCCTTATGGATTGAATAACATTATCTTTGAAGGGAGAGGACAAAAAAAGGTCTGCTTTTTGCATTGATCATTGTATGCGTCTGCTGGCAAATTTCCTGATTAGATGCTTCTCCTTCACTTCCTAGATCTGACTTCAGCCTGTTTAATGAGCCCTCTAATGCAGTGTCATTACTATCAATCTGAGTGTCTCTGGTGCAGGAATGAACTGAGACCCATGGCTATCTAGGGGTGGGGAATAATTGGCCAGGCAACAATACATCTGAGTGAGGATGGGGGATAAATAAAATTCAGTTCACATTTAAAGGTGAACTCACCTAATTCATACTTCCTAAAACAATATAAGAACCGAACCACAGCTATCCTTCAAAATCTACACTTTTCTGAATTTTACATTGTTGTTCTCCAGTAAAGCAATGTGTACAAAAATGCATATAGTAAGTTAAATTGTGTATAAAAATGCATATAGTACTGAAAATAACATTCTAATGTACAGTGGTACCTCAGGTTAAGAACTTAATTCGTTCCGGAGGTCCGTTCTTAACCTGAAACTGTTCTTAACCTGAAGCACCACCACTAATGGGGCCTCCTGCTGCTGCTGCCATGCCGCTGGAGCATGATTTCTGTTCTCATCCTGAAGCAAAGTTCTTAATCCGAGGTACTATTTCTGGGTTAGCGGAGTCTGTAACCTGAAGTGTCTGTAACCCAAGGTACCACTGTATTGTATATGGGGAAATTGCTTTGCAAAAATGTGTACTGTTGCATGAACCCCAATTTCAGAGCAGCAAGAGATTCTAGGGATGCCAGTGCTTACCTAGGGTTTGGTTTCCTTGGAATGGTTAGTGGAGGCTGTGGCATGTTTAGTATATGTGGTTTTATTTGCACATGTATACAGTCTATGGAAGGGCTCACAGCATTAACGCTCTAAGAGTTATTGCTTTCTCATGAGGCTTTGAGGGGGTCTCCAATGCCATAGCTTTGGATTTCGCACACAGAGCAATCCAAGCCTCCTTATCCCTCTTCCAGATTCCTGCATCAGCCTAAACTCACACACAGATTAGCCCCGCATTAGGGTGACATGGCACCCAGCCATATGGGGTGGGAATAGGCCTACCCCCATCCTCCTGAAAACATCTCCCATTTTCCCTATGGCAGCATATCTCTTCTTAGCTAACTCCTTACACATGCAAATGGATGTCTCCCAGCCCAACTATCCTAACAATTGCTCCTCTTCTGCCCAGAGCTTCTATCTGGGTCTGGAGCCCATTAATTAGGTAGCAATATTCATTATCTTGGGTTTGAACACCTTCTAATAAAGGTTGTGGGCAGCTCTTAGTCATGGACAGCTCTTGGCAATGCTTCAAGGTTATCCATCTGTTAAAGGAGCAGTGGTGTTTAGTCATAAGGTCTATGAGAATGTTTGTTGCCAAGATATAAAAGGGATTGGAAACTCACCTTGATGAACGTCAGCATAGACCATGACTGTATAAGGTGCTACTTATTAGCCATTGGAGGAGTCCTACCATTGCTCTTCCAGGGGATTCCTGGTGACTGAAGGAACACAAGCTGTCTATCTTTTGCTTTTGCTTTTCTCTTTGTTTCCTTTTTTTTTTTTCAACTGGCCTACAGATTAAACCCATTTATCAAGGAACAGACTTGGTGTGCTGCTCTTTGCCTTGTCTGAATGCAAAAAAGACCTCTTTTCTTGATAGAACACAGATCAAGTCAGGAAAAAGCACTTCAAGCAGGCAGTAAACAGGGCCAAAAAGGTGATGTGGCTTCAGAAGAGGGGGTGCAGCTTAGGGAGAAAGTATGCCTTTCAAGGGCTAGACAGATAAGCCTAGATGTGAGGTTTCCCAGCCTTGGGCTAATAGCATGACCCCACTTTTGAGTGAAGACAGCATTGCCCTGCACCCATGCAACATATGCCTAAGGCTATAGTATCTTGTAAAAGAAAGGAATTACAAACAGAAAAGCAAAGAAGAGAAAATAAATCTTGTCCAAGTTACAGAGATGGAGAAAGAATTCCTAAAGTTCCCAATATGGCACAAATGATTGTTGTTTCTTTTTCTTTGACTCTTGTTTCATATTTTGCCTACATGCCTGAGCCTGTTCCCATTCATATTATAATTATAGCTCTGCTTGCTAACCGTGATTTTGAAAAACTAATTAAATCCTAACTATAAAACTTGTACCTATTTGGAAAGGAAAAGAAAAGGTTTTGATGATCAAATGTAAAGTTTTATTTTCACATGTAATCTTCAATGTACGAGACAGAAAAACAGTTAAATTGGATTCTGTATCATTTTGTGCAGCTGAGAAAATACGGGTTAGATGTGCTAGGAGCATCTCAACTCACTTCTGTTGGCAAGCAAGCTCTACATTTTTTACCTGTTGAAGTCTTCAATGGTAGCCAAGCACATGGTGTATTATGGCAGTCCTGCCTAGTGATTATTACAGTGTGAAATTTAAGCACATGCTTAACCATCTCATGTAAATTCAGTGAGACCACAGAGTTTTTGTGTTCCATCCAGACTAAGTCTACAGCCCTAGACACACTTGCCTGAGAGTAAGGGCACTTCCAGACTGCCATCACAAATTCAGATTCCACAGTTGGAGTTGATTGGGATGTTCTGAGGGGGTCTGCTTCCTTAGCACATTCCCTACATTCTGCCCTGGGATGATCTGGGGCTCATCTCAGCTTTGGTTCTGGCTTCAGGATTCAGCCAAACCCAGCAGACATCCCTACTAATATCTCTGCAAGCCAAGGATGAATGCTAAATAAGCAGGTCATCTGGATGCACCCTAAGTCCCATTGAAAATGGGGCATATATAGGAGTAGTCATGTTTAGGATTGCACAAACTGTTACACTCAATGGGACTTCAGTTAGTCATGGGCACAGGAAGGGTTATGCTATGACAGTCCTTCAATGCTAGTAGTTTGCCTTAGTAATTACATATGTGCACCTTATGTCTAAGTGTGTGCTGTGTAGCTAATAAAATTTGTAAAACTTCACCTGAAAGCAGACCTATTGCCTCCAAGTCAGAAAGAACTGTCCTTGAGCAGAGCAGGTGTAGTCCAACAATCTCTGGAGGGCCACAGTTTCCCTGTTCCACTACAGACTGTAGGTAAGGAGTCGTGTTTTTGAATGCTCTTTCATGTTAAAAGTTCCCTGCAAGTAGAAATCTTGTATTGCAAGAATAACCAAGCATTCAAAACCAAACCAGCCCAGCTGGAATAGAAGCAAATGCTGGACATTCTTTATCCCTTCCTCCCAGGGTTCTCCTTGGTTTATACAGGGGAGTAGTATTAGCTCTTCAAAGTCTCAGGCTAGCGGTCTTTCTTACCTTTGCTATCTTAGGTCCTTCTAAGCAGAGATTATTGGGCCAGAACTCGGGAACATCTGCATTCAAAGTGCCTACTCTGCCACTGAGCTATGGGCCCATCTGGTCAGGAGCAGTGCTCTCTATTAAACAACACCAGCCAAAGTTTATGCTATGCTTAATATTTTATTCATATTTTCATGTAAACATCATTTGCTTGGTAGGCACAATATAACAAAAGCTCTAAAGCAACAAATAACAATTAAAACAAGTGTTCCGGTTCTCTTCCTTCAGGCTGATGGTAAAGAGAGGCCTTCACAGTTCCATTATCGAAATTGAGAAATAATTTGCTTTCACTGGGAGAAAATAACCAATTAATTAGAGAGAAATTGAAAGCGCCCCGCTGACAGTGTTACAGTTTGGAGTTCAGTAATGATTCCGTTTCCCCTGTACCAGTAAAACACTGAGGAAATGCTAACTCCCTTTCTGCAGTCTCTTCTACTACCCGGAAGAGAGGTGATTCAACTATTTGTACTTAAAGAAATAGGGCCATGTCCCTCAGAGTAATCCCATGAAAGCCAGCGCTAAATTTGTGATTAGATGTGAAGAACAAAAGGTGACATAGTCTTTGCAGGCTTGTGTCACTTCAAAATGCATGTGGAGTAGTTACATATGTGGATAATCTCTTGCAAGGAACACTAGCATATCATTTGAAGGCTAGACTCTACCTTACTTTCAAAATACAATGGGTTTTTTTAAAAAAAAAATCTGTGAGGAGCAAACACACAGCTACATGTTCCCCCAATGTATTTGAAATGGGCCATCTCTCTAAATCTCTTTCTAAGCGTTTGATTGGACAATTGAGATTGGGCATTGGGTGATTATGTGCACTCTTGTAGTGCCATCATATCCAGACAAGGAACATACAGTTTGAAATGGCCTTGTGCTCCCAGTCATCTCTCTAACAGATGGGAGTGTGTATGGGGCTCATTTTCCAAGTGAGCAACAATGCAATGTTGGCATGGTAGGAGAATGCAGTTTTCTGAGAATTTCAAGCCAGGAATGAGAGAGAGAGAGAGAGAGAGAGAGAGAGAGAGAGAGAACATGAATGAATGTCTCATGTGGTTTGCACCTGTTAGTGTACTTAAATCTTAAGTATCAGGATCAAATCCTGACTCTAGTGAAAATGGTGCAAATTAAGTGGAGGTCAATAAAGGTGGGATTTCAGTTTCAACCTAGTTATAGTAAATTTGCATGAACTGGACAGCTCTGATTAAACTTGACAGCAAAATGTTCTTTCAGTGCAATGTTCCAAAATAATATTTCCCAGGGATGGAAGGCTTCCTGGAGTGATTCCCACAATCAGATCTCAAAGCAAACAAAAGAGTTCCACCCACATCTTGCTTCCTGATGATACAAAAAGGCATAACACTACAGAACTGAGAATGAGATTGAACTATATGTGTGACTCATTAATGGAACACATTGCACATGTGTATATGTATCTTGCTGCACAATTTGCTCCTGGAAGCAGCCAGCATTTGTAAATGCCTATGATGCAATTGGTCCATTTTGAATTTGGCATGAATCCACAACCCTCATCAACAAAAGTAGATACTTAGGAATACTGTACTACACAGGCTCAGGGTTTCTAAATGCACTTTAAAAAACAACACACCTTAGACCTTTATGTTAAACACATAAAGGTCAGGAGTAGACAGAGTAGGACCAGTGAGCAGCCCCCTTTATACTTTGTGCATGCTCAGGATAAATGCTTGATTATAACTTAGGTGTGAGTTCTTGTGAGTTATATTTGCCACACCTAGTTCAAAATGAAGAGAAAATTTGTGCAGCAAAAAGTAGGCGGCAGTAAGTCTTCTTAGATTTGCATCTGCAGTGTTAAAGTTACTATGCTATGCAAACCTATCTGGGAGTAATCCCACTGGACATGGGACTGTCTTGTGAGAAAACATGCATGGGTTGAGTAACACAGTCAATTCTGATTAAATCAACAATACAATTGTACCTTGGAAGTTGAACAGAATCTGCTCCGGAAGTCCGTTTGACTTCAAAAACATTCAAAAACCAAAGCTCCTGCGGCCAATCGGAAGCTGCAGAAGCCCCATCGGACATTTGGCTTCCAAAAATAGTTCAGAAACCAGAACAGTCACTTCCGGGTTTGCATCGTTTGTGAGCCAAAACATTTGGGAACTAAGCTGTTCGAAAACCAAGGTACGACTGTACTGGAGTGAATACTGGAGCTCATCTTGTGAATGCTCCAATGCTGGTATACATTATAACTCTGCCTGCTGAAAAATCGTTTCAGATGGTGATTGTGTCAGGATGGGTCGAGCCATAACCTAGACCCGTTTTGCAGTGTTGAGAAGATCAGTTCGCCATGGGAAATCAACTTTAAATGTCAACTTGCATTTACTTCGGTATTTTTTTTAAAAAAAATGATTTTTTTTCATGCTCCTGGCTTTTGTTGTTTTCTCTTTGGTTCATCTGTAAAAGAAATGAACCACATCCTGGCTCAGCTCATTTCAACAGAGACAAGTACCCTTAAGCCTTAAGCAGGCCTGCCCTCTCCCAAATAAAGTATTTAGAGAGATGTATCTGCCCACTCTTTTCGTTTTCCTGGCTAACCCAAAGAATGACCCAAATGTATATGAAACACCTGGTCATTCATAACTATGGTTTATTGTGTGAATTGTCACGTATGAGGAATTATTTGATTGAAATACTGCTCCATGGAATACAGTGGGACCTACATCTGAGTAAATGTGCATAGGATTGCTCTGTAAGTTAAATGTTGTTCTATCTCACACCCGCCCATTCTAGCTCTACCTTACTTTTTAATTAAAAATGAATGGCTGCTTCTTTTAAATACCTCAGCTGCAGTCCCAGTGGCTATGACATTCCAAATGGCTTCATTTTGCTTGCACACAAACTGCAAAGTGCAGCCCAATATGGCACTTTTATTTTATATGAGGAATAGGATAAAGAGATATGCTGGAATTATGCTAAATTGCTCATACAAATCTGATTATTTCTTCTAACACTTAGACAATTATACTTCCAACCTCCCTCCCCCCCACCCCCCGCCAGGCCCTTTTTAAGCATTTCTCATCCTTATACAATTTTGTTCATATCTGTAGCTTTGTTGATTTAGAGTCAGGCTAAATGCTAGTAGGCTCAATATATAATGATTTACCACCCAAATCCAATTTTCATGTGAACGAAGGAGACAATTATACACAGAACGCAATGCGAGAAAATTAGAAAAATACCAGAATGAGAATCATTAAAATGACATACTGTGTTAATCCAAATCCATCCTTGTCACTGTGAGGAAAAAGGTTAGCAACTGATTTTTCTTTGCTGTCTTGGAAAAATGATGTTAAGTTTAACAGTTCGGCTACACATTTAGGTGAGATGTTTTCTTTAATTAGTGTGATGTACAATACTAGAATTACATGGGTGTGAGTGAGCTGTGTCAGTGTGGAAGGACAGGCACTAGGGTCTAAGAGACCTCTCTCCTGGGGCCTGACATGGTTCTCAGTTAGATCAGTGTGTGGTGAAGTGCTTCAAACTGAGAGAAGAATTACTCAAATTAGGTCAGCTCTGTTTTGGTGCTTGCATGAAGGATTAATAAACCTTTATCCCAATGTGATGTACAGAGATAGCTATCATTGACCAACCTTTAAAAATATTAAGAGTGCACTTTTGAATGATCAGGGAATTCTGTAGTTCTTTGTGGCAAAGGAACTTTTTAGAACTTGGGGGGGGGGGGACTGTCATGTATGTTTTTCTTTATAAGGCAATAAACTTAGATGGGCCAACAGTAAACATATTTGTTGGCACCAGGACTGAATACTTTTTTTCTAATTAATTAATGGGTTCTGTCCACTAATGTACATGTAGTTATACCAATCAGTGCTGTTGCTGTCACCTAGTCTATTTCTCTATCCACCAAACAATAAAGAACAAATGAGGTATTTTATTGTCTTAAGAGTTTAAGAAGGACTTGTTGGTTCAGAAGTATCGTCAGGGGATGGAATGGATAGTGAACTGTCCTGTCAGCAGCCTGCATTTGTGCTTCAAAAGAAAAGTTCTCACTCTCCTCTAAAAGCTCCTTGCACAGCTGGGGGCATCAACAAATCCTTGGTGAAAATTCTAATTGACATATGTGTTGAAGGCAGTCTTGCCTCTTTGTATAGATGCTCAGGATCTCCATCATTTGGTTAAAGGTTGAAATTTGGAGCGCAGAATGTGGGTGCTTTCTCCCACCTTGAACAATATAAGCTGTTGTACGAGTCTAATATGTGGGCCTATTTGCATGGAGGCCCAATTCACAAAGCGCTCTCTCTCTTTTTAAAAAAGAATGACAGGAATCAAGCCTACTCAGCCTTCTCTCATAATGCCTAATATGCAGTGCTGAAAGGAGTACACATACCCGTTTTGTCCACCACAGAATTATCCTTAGGCAGGTGGGTGGGTGAGCTCACCCACTGAAATAAATGATTATAAATGTTTTTATAATCATTTCACTGGCTAATGGAATAGGTGAGGTTTAAGAAGAAGCCAACCAGAAATCACCCTTCTAAAACTGGCTTGAAAACTTGCCTTTTTGAAACCACAAGAGAAGAGGTTCACATTTCAGTTTACTGTGGATGCTAATAAGGCTTCAGACAGGAACTCAACAGGCAAACTGGGTGGCATGTGATGGAATGTTATAATACTGGACTGGGTGGGAATGGCACTTGAGTTTCAAAACATCAATGATCAACAGCTTATAGCTCAGCTGACTGCAGACAAAAAAAGAACAACACACACTGTACTAGAGCATTTGTTCACTGGTGCACAAAATGGACCTCCCAGTCACCTTCCCTTCTTTTGCTCTATCAATTCTTCCCGCTTTCATTCCCTCCACTCATAGCTATTGCTGGATGAATGGCATACGTTCTTTATTCTCATTGTCCCCCTCGTGGTCTTCTTCCTCTTCGCCAGCTTCACTGGTTTCTGTACTGTCATTGGCCATCTATGAACAAAACAAAGGAAACCAAGAGGTTGGATGGCCACCTGTCATGGATGTTTTAGTTGAGATTCCTGCTTGGCAGGGGGCTGGTCCCTTCCAACTCTATGATCCTATGATTCTATGCAATGCGCCAAGAAAAAATGCCAAGGATAGCAGAGTTGGCCCATAAGGCAACATTTTTTTAAAAATTAAAGGTTGCACACATACAATGTTAGTTCTACTCACAGTAGAGTTATTAAAATTGATGGACCAAAGTTAGTTATGCCTAAGGGGTGAAGTTCACAAAAAGTGATCTCAAAGCCATTAAAGAAAAAAGAACGCACGTTCACAAACAGAGATCTTGCAAATGTCCTGTGATACTGATTATCCAGAATGAACCTTTTACCCCAAGCTTTTGCCTCAAGGGATCAGAGTCAAAAGCGTATCTTATGCATGTTTACTCAAAAGTAAGTTTCACTGAGTTCAATGGTATTGTATTCAAATACACGATCCCACTGTGAGGTGAAGAAAGGATCACACTGGGAGGTGGCCCAAAGGACAGAAGTCATTCTTGTGTGCCCTGGGGGCAGGTGATTTGCATTTGCAGCTCACATTTCTTTTGGCTAGAATGATAAAGATTGACATCAGTTCACTGTTGACATTTAAGGCTGCACAACAAGCCCATACAGTGGTACCTCGGTTTACGAACTTAATCCGTTCCGGAATTCCTTTTTTAAATGAAACCATTCTTAAACCAAGGTGTGCTTTCCCTAATGAGGTCTCCCACCGCCGGTGCTCTTCCACCGTTCGGCTTCCATTCTTAGACCGAGGTAAAGTTCACAAACTGGGACACTACTTCCGGTTTTGTGGAGTTTGTAAATCAAATAGTTCATAAATAGGGCTGTTCTTAAACCGAGGTACCAGTGTACTGCAGTAAGGAGATCAGTGTCATCATGGACTGAGCAACTGTGATAAAAACTGCAAATGCAAACTGAGTTAAGAAAAGCAACAAGTCCCATCCCTAGTCATGTCCATGAATTTCAATTGTTTTGCTCTGAGTAAAATTAAAATTTGAATACAGCTCCAAATCCATATTATGTCAATAACTTTATTAGGCTAAATGATGTGCAGAAACTGCCTTCTTGACAATTGGACCCACTATTGTTCTCATCTGCTCAATCCACCAGAGCCTGACTTTGCATGCAGGGGAAGTCGCTAACTCACCAAGGGTTTGAGGACATGTGTTATCACTTAATCACCAGTGGAGCTTGAAAGCAACAGCCTTCCCATGCTGTTTTGCCTTCAGCAACTGGTACTCAATGGCATACTGTCTCTAAGAGTGGAGATAACTTCCATTATGGCTTGGGGCAACTTCAGATGACCAACTTTTAATGAGCATTCATCCTGATTTTCTGGTGCAAAACTGATGTGAGAGTTAATTATATCCAGTCTTTACTGAGCATTCATTATTATTATTTTGCAGGATGTTAGTCATTCATCCATTGCAAGCTTTTCAATGTATTCTCTACATCACTTTCCAAACTGCAACAAGTCGGATGCTTTTAACAAGTAGATTTGTTGTGCTAGGGAAACAGAGCACTTTAATCCATTTCAGATGCACAGACTGGATGTTCAGAAATTTAGTTCTTAGGCCATAAAAAGAAATGGAACCAGTGAATGAATTATGTGTAGAATCCTCCATCACTCTTTGACCACAATGAAATATGTCCTATATAGCAACCAAGAAAAAATGAGCAGGGCATTGATGAAATTAGAAAAGTAAAATACAGTCCCTTAGGAAAATACATGTAAAGTTTGCTAATAAATGCCCTTCATATACACAGTAGTCTCACGGGGTCTGTGTTGATGTAAAAATGTGTAGATTTCATGAATGTGATTAATTAAAGTGAAGGCTGTTTGCAAATGACTGTTCCTTTCTTGTTAATCCAGTGTAACTTTGCAATTCTATGTTCCCTGGGAGGATGTCCCAGGGCTATATGGATCATGAGGTCTTCCATGCCAAAGGCAGAGAAAGAATTCTGGCCTTGGAGAAGGAGATCAGATGTTGGATGACACTTCCCTGTAGCAGCAGAAACTTCTATGGCCCTTGTCCTGCTGATTGTCAGAGTGCTGATGCCAGTAAAACTGAAAAGGGGACATGTAGGGGCAACAGTGTAGGGAAAGGAACTGATCCAACACTTCCCATTCTCCCAATACACCCCAAAGCCAGAAAGAAACTTATGCAAGCTCTAATTTGCCTTCCATTTGGAACAATTCAAAAGACTTTTTTTATTTTATAAGAACCCCCCTCCCAGAAATGGGTGGAGAAATGGATGCTGTCCAACCCTCTAAATGCATTGTTAAGAGATAACAAAACCTCATGGAACCAGGCACAGAATTGGTCAAGAGAGCATTCCACAAATAGGGAGCCATGCCCATTTTGGGCAACACCCACTGCTGCAATGTGCCCCCCAGAGGGTTCAACAATAGTGAATGTGACCATCTGTCCAAAAAAGAAATTAGTCACCACTGCCTAAAACTTATTTTCACTTACCAATGGAGTTGGTGTTTTCTCCACATCCAAAATTAATTTCCCTATGTTGCCTCTGTCATGGATTCTTTGCATTGCTTCTTTCACCTAGAAGGTAACAAATGCCCAAGTTACACCCCCTTTGTGATGCACATAAACAAACAAACAAACAAACAAACAAACAAAAAACAGTTCACCTTTGAATGCAAGCATATTTCATGATGCAAATACAAATGAACTCGAATCTTTAGCCCAATGAGAATATGTTGAAGTACCAAAAATCGGATGAGAAAGGTTTGCAGTACATTAGTGATAATAAAAATGAACCCATTCAACCAAGTGTTAGAAGAGAATATTGAATATTAAGACTGCAATCCTCAAATGTGCAATTGCTAATCTTATGATGAAAATACACAACTCCTTCCTAATATAAGTCACTATTTCTGAGGGCCATAAAACTATTTTTTAAAAAAGAGATCCAGTAGGGATCTGGGAAATTACAGACTGGTTAGCTTAATGTATGTTCTGGGGAAACTGGTGGAAAGTATGATTTAAGATAGATTTAAGATAGAATTACCAAGCATATAGAACAAGTCTCGCTTGAAGCAAAAGCAGCATGTGTACTGTGTACTTAAGAATAACAAAAAAGCTTTTGAAAAGTACCTCACTAAATTTCTTTTAGTTATTTCTTAAACTTATTAGTTGCTTGTCACCTGAAGGTCTCCAAGCGACTTACAGCACAGAAAAATATACAATACATAATATCATAAACTTAAACATGGTTTGCGTCTTGAGGGCCCCAGGACGCCCCCGCCCCAACCACCATAAAATAATTCACACAGACACATATTTAAGTTTAAGGTTGCTGGGCAAAATTTATGCCACAACTTTATTGAATTACACAAAGTGAGCAGTATTGGCTTAGGCATTGACGAACTATAACTGATTCCTGCCCCCCTTGCAGGGAGTCTAGAAGGGTAACCCAACGAGGGAGCTACATCGATGTAGATCAACAGAAGCACACCCCAATGTTCCCGTGGTCCTGGCATGGCCCTAGCCCCTCAAGTGGACTTCGGAGGGGCTGGTGATGGCCGCACCTCCTCTCCCACATCCCCCACAGAGTCAATGCCTAACCGCCAAACCTTACAAAGTTGTGACAATTGCTGGGAGGTAGGCGAAAACCAAATGGCCAGTGCCAATTTGCCAAGTGGAAAATTTCCTACCAGGCCCCTGCCGCAAAACAGGTGACCAACCAAAGTCCCAAGCAAGGCCAGGCCACCGATGCAGAAGAAGGTGGGAAGGTGGATCTTCGGCGGTGGGAAGCAAGTGAGCGTGACGCGTCCCACTGCCGATTTATATCCCTCACATTCGTGCCAAGCAGCCTGACTGGCTGCCTAGAAGTGGCGCGATTGTGGGGCCAATAGAAGAAAGAGCCGGGCATAGCCCGGCTCTTAGGTTATGGGGGAGGGGTCCTTCAAGCCCGCACACAAGCAGGACCCTCCCTTAAGAGAATCCCAATTGCTAAAACAAGCCACCTTCCTAACCCATGGTTTGAAGTTTGCTTGTTTCAAACAAACCAGTGTTAAGATTAACCACAGTTTGTTGGGTACAAATAATGTAAGATGTGGTAAATGGAAACTGGAAGTAAAAAAATTTCTTCTTGCAGCTACGCCAGGAATGGAGTGTACAAGTTCAAGTCTCACTCCTTCTCCTCACACTAAACTGTAGCTGCTACACCACATCCTCACTGGACCACTAATACTTTAGCAAGGGATCCTTGCCAATCACTTATTTTGCAATCTTTTTGACAGCAAATAAAGCCATTTAGAATTTCTTAGCAAACTATAAGGGTTTGCTGTACCAAAGCTGGAAATAGTTCCAGATCTGAATGACTGAGCAAGCATGTTAGACTGCTAGGTGAGACTTATCACCAAATTCCTGGATCTATTTCTTTGCCAAAAGAAAAAGAAAAGTAATGGACTACTCACAAATATGTGGTTTTGGGCTGGCAGCCAAAAAATGGTGATTAAAGTAGTTGCTGCATGCCCATATCTCATGCTCAGCGGAAGGAAATAAGCTTCCCTTGCATTTTTCTCTCATACACAGTATCAGCTTTAACCCTCTGGGGAAAAGCTCAAGGTGTGCTTATAGGCAAATTCTCCATAATTTGAGCAACAGGTGCTGGGAAAGAAAACAATATGATTCCAATTTTTAATATATAAAAACAAGGCTGCTCTGTGTATTGAATGCAGATGGGGGGAGTTAGGAGAGAACTGTAAAAAAGAAATTGTATGCATAGATGGAGCTGTATCAGATTTCTAGGAGACAGAAAATTAGTTTTGTTGTAGAGAGCAGCAAGAGAATTAGCCAAGTTTAAAGACCTACTTTTGGAGATGTCCACTATTCTTTCTCTGTGTCTCTGTTTTGAAAAAGCAGTGTAATCTACAAGTGTTCATTGTGGTTACTTTACTCCAGGGGAAGTCCAGCTGCTTTTGGACAGAAAATCTAACCATCCCTGGCCATTGAAGGGCAACATGTTGACTCCCCCTGCTTTTCTTTTGACTGTGAGCAACATATATGCCAAATAAAAATACTGAAAAGGCATGAAAATATTTGGTGCAAAGCATTGCTGTCTCCTCTGCTGTGAAGGCTCTTTGTTCTTGCTTCTGTAACAACTTATTTATTATTATTATTATTATTATTATTATTATTATTATTATTATTATTTCTTTACACAACTTAAAATTGCAAGGACCCTGTCCTCTTTTACAACAGACCACCCTACTTAAGGGCTACAGCTCAGTGGAAGAGAAGCTGGTTTGTATGCCAAAGGCCCCAATCCCTGGCACATCCGTGTAGGGCTGGGGGTTGCAGGCATATGCCTGCCCCCCTTCCTGCTTTTAGACCCTGTGAACACAATACCAGTTGCTAAAAGGTGTGTTAATTAGCTATTTTTAACCATTTTGAGGTTTGTTTGTTTTTTACAATCAAACCGTGTATATCAAGCAGTTATTTTATGAAATAACTGTATAAATGATTTATTTTATATGTTTATTGCATTTATATCCCACTTTTTTCTTCCAAGAACATGGTTTCTCCCCTCCTCATTTAATCCCCACAACAACCCTGTGATATCACTTTGGCTGAGAGGCAGTGACTGGCCTGAGGTCACCCAGTGAGCTTCAAGGCCAAGTGGGGATAAGTGGTCCAGAAGGAACAAATCAGCAATGAGATAAGCAATGAAAGTGCCAGTAAAATGAAGCTGGTCTGGACTCGAGAACAGAAAGCAGCTTGGTGAATCCTTCCAGTTCAACCTTTCCCTTTCCCCCAGTGTATTTTGCCACCTCTATTGCTCAGCTGAATAAAGACTGCTGAGACTCCCATCCACCATTTCCAATCTTCAGGCTAATTTGGAATTTATCTAAAAGCACGAAGTCATTAGTGTCTAACTGAAACAATTTACCAGCCCCCATATGCACCGACTAAATGTTTAAGGAGTTCTGACTCAAGTGGGATACAATAACACTTAATTGCCTTGTGTTTCATTTCTCAGTTTGCAAAGTACTACCCTCTCAGGACTGGTTCACGTGCCACATTACAATTGGAGGAATTACCTGCATTTCTTACAGCTGGTTTATATGCTGCATATGGAAGCGGGAAAAGGGAAGAGCAGTTTGTGAAGTTTCTGTCCATAATACCATTGCACTAAGGATGTGGATCCACAGAGGAAGCATTCAATCCTCAGCATCTGCAGGTAGAGCTGGGAACATCACCTATCTGAAATCACTGATTGCCACTGCCAGTGAGTGTAGACCACAGGTGGGGAACATGTGGCCCTTCAAATGTTGGTAGGTCCCAACTCGCATCAGACCCAGGCAGCGTGCTAATGGTCAAGGACGATGGGAGTTGCAGTCCAACAACACAACATCATCTAGAGGGCCAAAGTTTCCCCATCTCTGGTGTAGACAATACTGAGCTAGATGGGTCAGTAGTCTGACTCAATATAGGACAGCTTCCATTGTTGCTAGGTATTTTGGGCTGCCTAAGGAGTATAATGGGCCTTTCTAGGTCCCAGTTGTACTGGGATTCTCTGTGGGGCCCTTGCCTCTTCTTCATAATAGATCTACATAGGGGTCTTTGTCAGGCTGTATTCTGACCATGAGTTAGATCAAGGCCATAATATAGAGGTGGCAAGAGTTGCCAATCTTTTCCATGGTCCCCCATCCAACTGCTCACCTGGGAAGTCTTGCTATTAGTCACCAAGGGGCAAAGATACAGGCACCTATATTATGTCTGCATGCCTTCTGCTTTGCAGCTCACTGACAGTAACTGGATCAATGCCCTCCACCAACGCTTGGTCAGATAGCTCCCTCCCTCTGTAGCTGCTTTTTAGTAAAGACTAAACACAAACATTTGTGCATGGTTTGATAGATCTTCGGAGGCATATGGAAAGAAACTCATAGTCAAATGTAGCAGAAAACACAGCCACAACACCGAATGAATCATTACTGCATCACAGCATACCAAAGGGAAGAAAGAAGCATTTCACCCACACTGGTGGATAACATGGTAGCCTCACATATAATGTAACATCTGGTCATTAGGCCCTGTTCCAGCAATACAGGTTGCTTTTGTATCTCCAGAGCTGGTTGAATTTTAAAATCAACGCTGACACCTGCGTTTAATGCAACATTATCTACTGTGCTGTTTAAAATTTTCTCCACCTAAGTTAAGGAGACCACTGTATTCTGCAGGCATGGAGATACGGACCTCCTTTTCTTGCTCTGCTGGATCTAAGAAATGTGCACTGTAGGGAATTCTACTCCTGATGAACTGCTGCATAATAATCAATGGCTATTTGGCTTCTGTGTGAGCAGAAAATGCAGAACCTGATATAAGAGAGTGGGTACTATTTACTGCATTTTTATTCCACAATTTCCCTAACTTTTATTGCCACCACTGCTAACTATTATCATTGCAATCACCCTATGTAGTACTTTTGGCAGAGATAGGGTGACTGAACCCGAAGTCACCCAGTAAGCTTTGTGGATATCTGAACCCAGCCTAGACTGACACTAACCACTACACCACACTCCCTGTCTGGTGGCAGTGTAGCAGCAAAGAGTATGAGCTATTTGCCACAATCACACTAGGGAAGCCCCTATCCCTCAGGCTCTATCTCTGCAGTTGTTGGAGATAGCCCAGTACTATTTATTTACTTATTGCATTTGTACCCTGCTTTTTAGCCAAAAAGACTCCCAAAGAGTCTTACATACCATAAGTTAAAACAAGAGAGTTCCTGCCTGTCTAAACTACATGACCCACAAGAAAAAAGGCTGGAGGGAAAAGGGGAAAAAGCAAGCACTCTTCTGGTCCTCCCTGGGAGCATCCAGCCTCCTGCTTCTTCTCCTGCCTTTTCTCACCCACATACCTTTGCTGCTGGCCTCTCATTAGCAACAGGGGAATGGAGAAAGGGAAAGAGAGGTCTTCATTCTCTCCTCCCTTCTCTGGCATCTGTCTCATGATCTTTGCTGCTCCAGCTCCACCACCCTCTACCATGTGAAGGATTCCTACTTCTTCAAAAGGCTCTGATTTTACTCCTCTGCTATTGCATGCTTGGAACTGCCTCCTTCCTTCACATCCCTCTTCAAAACCCACAAAGCCTTTGCACAATCGCCCATCTCTCATGCCTTATTGTGATCCAGCCAGTCGAGAAGCCTAAGCATGGGCAACTGAGGGCATTGTTTTGGGTACGGCAAATCCAGGTTGCTCAATGATAGTGGATTGGGAGGTCATGTGCAACAAACTTGCTTCCCCAAATGATGGGACTTTTTGTGATAAGGAAAGTGATGGGAGAATGCATTGAAAAGTGTAGGATACTGCTCGTTTTGATGCAATGACATCTAACCTTCCTGCAACAAAATCAGAATGAATGCTCAACAGACAGGTTGAAACAAATACCTATTGCTTCCTTATTTTCCCCTGCCTTCTTTCTCATATTGTTTTTCCCATACCAATTTTTAGATGGTAAGCTCCTTGTGGCAAGGAGCTGCTTTCTTGAGCTCTGAAGTACTGTGGTGATGGCACTAAACAAACAAACAAACAAACATACTGCTAATTTCCCAGTGTTCCTTGCCCCTCACCTCTGCAGTGGCTTTCCCAGTGCCTCTTGCCCCTGGCACGCCCCACAGCTGTATGTAAAGCACCACAGAGGACATTTCTAAATGGAGTTTCACATATTCCTAGGTCAAACCCTTGTTGTGTTTAACACACCCCAACTGGATATTAGCAGTATCCTCCAGTCCCTAGCTCATGCTGTTTCTGTTATAGAACCTTGATGGATTGTGGGTAGCTTTGAGCATCGTTGGAGGACAAATTTAAGCCACTGGTCAGTTACACTGCAAAAAGATAAATTCCCCATCTCTAATTAATTCCTTTCCCCATCTGCTTTGCCCCGGTGCTGCTAAGGAACAAGCAGCTAAATCACGTTGTGACGAATCACAGGGATGAGATCTCCATGGTTACAGGTCATGTGGTCTACAAATACAAGCTTTTAGCGTCAGAGTTACTTTGGCAACACAAGTGGCAGAGGTAACTGATGCAGATCTTGCCCAGATTTATGACAGGATAAATCCAGACAAAAATGTGTCTATTCTGCATTCAGAGGTGCACTATCAGTCACCATGGGGTGTATTTGCAGCTCCTATACATTCACTGAACACACATAGGAGAGTGGGATCACTAACCACCATTTCCCCCTGCCTCTGGTGACTGCACATTGCATGCATATAAAGGGGGCCTCTGCATGTAAAGGTGCTCCAGGCAAAGGTGGGAAGGTATGTAGCTCAGTGGTAGTGCATCTACTTGCATGTGGAAGGTTGCAGGTTCAATGCTGGGCATCTCCAGATATGGCATATTTTAGCACGGATAGCTCTTAAGCAACACTTTCAATACTGTAACCTTTCAGCGGAGCCATCACCCCTAATGGTTTTCATTATCACTGTTGATTTGTCTGGTTTATCAGAGCTACAATGTTAACTTAGTAAAATACAGGTGCTTAGGGCATTCCTCGGTCCAGATGAGGGGCATGATGGTTTAGAGTTTAAAATAAATAAATCACAAACACTTGATGTCACAAGGAACTGCATAGAATGTTTAAAAGGCCAAGGGCCCTGTTGCAGGCTTGCAACCTAAAGGAAAGTATGAGAAGTGACTCTGTAGTGATGACCACTGACTTGGAAGGCTTTGAGAGAGGATTAGACAAATTCATTGATGATAAGGCTATTAGTGGCTACGTTCTGCCTCCACAGTCAGAGGCAGTATGTCTCTGGATACCTTCTGAGAATTGCAAACAGGGAGAGCATTGCTGCACGCAAGTCCTGCTTGTGGGCTTCTCATAAGCATCTGATTGGCCACTGGATGACAGAGTGCTGGACTAGCATGCATTTATACACATGCATAGTAAAGTAAAGGTGCCCCTACCCTTTACTAAGGACCAGACTAGTCCTTCATGTGAATGCCACATTAAACATGGGTAGGAAACCTCATCTTGGGTCCAAATGCAAGTCTCTGGGTCTCTCTGTTTAGCCCTAGGACTCTCCTAATGCCACACCCCAACCCCAACCTCTATCCCCAGGCTTCACCCTGCACTGACATTGCTTCTCGTCCTCCTTGAGTGTTCTTGCCAGACTGCAATGTGTCCTTGAACTCTGACAATGCTTTGTGTTTGACTGGATGAAGGATAGAGAGGTGTGTAAGAGTGTGTATAAACTAGCCTGGTGAGAAGCTGGTAAGAAATGGCTATTGTTTCTTCTTTACTAGTGTGCCACCCAGAGATTGAAGGAACCCTAAACTGGATAACCTCTAGGAATGCAACATTTTAAACATAACAAGACTTCCTTGAAGAAGCTTACAAAACGGTTGCAAAATAGGACCAGATATTTACCAGGCACATCCCTGGTAAATAGGGTCTTTTGGGGCATAGGATACTTCCCACATTTGTTTTCTAAAGCTGTACAGCACCAGGTGGGGGTTAAAGAGACAGCTGTGTCATTTTTTTGCCTTTACAATGAAGTATGTTTGTTTTTAGGTGCCCTGTCCACATCAACAGGGCTGGCCCTACCATTAGGTAGACTAAGGCGGCTGCTTCAGGCAGCAGATACTGAGGTAAGTGATAGGGGCAGAGCTGTGTGTGCCATATAGAATGGCTTGCCTTCTCCTAAACTAGGCTGCTGCTCTCAAGAGCAGTGGAGGGCACTGTCACACCCTAGTAAGATTTAGCTGCCTATTTGGTTGGGTTTGTACATGGAATGAGGCATGTGCTATCATTGCCTCAGGCAGCAAAAAGGCTTGGGCTGGCCCTCCACAGCAAATGCCTCTAGTAGCTACACTTTCCTTTGCTTTTTCTTTCAGTACAGAAGGATGCCTTTCCCCCTGAATGGTCTGTTGCCATGGTAGCCAATGTAAAAACAGGCCAGAAATGAAGAATTTTCTTTAAAAAGGACCAAAAACTGCTAGTGAAGGCAAACCTGGACTCTCAGGGACCAATTTTAGCTATTTAAAAGAAGCTGCATAGTCCCACAATTGGAGTGCAAACTCTCAAGTTTCCCCATTAGCCTATAAATACGTTTAAAAAAAAAGTTCCTGACACTGTTTTGTTTATAGTCTTTCAGTCACTGATGAATCAGGACCCACAAGTGAGTCAAGCCCAGACCTAAGGTGGCTTGCACCCATGGGACCACCTGTCTCTCATTGGAATTTCCTTTGAAAGAGGGGCAGAGAGAGAAATGAGCAACCTGGTATGTAGAAATATGATATTTTGGAAGGTGAGGCTTTTTTCAACCTGGCATAAGGAAGCGCATTTTCAGTTAAAAAAAGGTAGTGTGTTTTTCTTTGCATGCTGCAATTTAGGGATATGGGGTGGGGGAGAGAAGGGAAATATCTTGGGTCTGAATAGAGTGAAGGCAAAGGAATTACAATACATCCAGGACTATTATCATTATAATTATTACTACAAAGCGTGCAAAGCTGAATGTGCACAAGTTAAATGCACGAAAGCTGCGAGTTACCTGTACATTGAAGCTAGGGAGGGACTCAGAATCTCTGGAGTTGTACCATCCTATATAGAACTCCTGTATCAGGATGCTAACATTTTCACTTCTACACTTGCTATAAGACTATACCTCTATTGGTGACTAAATATGTTAAAGAAGATCAGACTTGTTTCATACCAGGGTGCCATCTTGCAGACTCAGTGTGGTGAGTCCTTACCTGAGTTTTGGCTACAGGTTTGGCAAGGCCCTGAAGCAACTTTACTCTCACTCCAAGATAACCTGTTGCCAAGTCCTATTTCCGTGGTTGTTGCTTAGCCACCCCCCTCATTTTCCTGTGCAGGGAAGCTTAGATGACACTCCCAAGTGCTGGGCTTTGTACAGGGGTGACCAGCTACTGACCATTCATCTACACACAGCACCGTTCTATTCAGGAGTACATCCATCCTGGCTTTATCCTCTTCTCAAAGGGGATATCACTAAAAACTGGCTTCTGATCATTTGGAATATGTCACTTCACTTAAGGTTATTTAGGGAACACAGCCCTTGCCAGACTGTTTAGATAGAAGCATCTCCCCCCAGGTCTGTTCTCATTTATTTAGAAGTGAAGCTCATTATTGTTAATTGCTACAGATGCTTCAGGCCAAGTGCATGTATCGCTTTCTTGGAATCTAGCAGACAATTTGCTCTTTGTGGAGATGCTAAGATTCATTTCTGTAACTGATTTTTTGTCGGTTTGCTCTCTGCCTCTTCTTAGTTTAGTCCTTCTCTTCCTTTCTTCAACAAAGTTCTGCCAGCACAACATGCTAAACTTATAGGGCAGTTCAGTTGCCAGCCTTCTGAAAGAGGCTTAATTTATTATGACTATCTTGTGCAGAGAGAGACAACATTGATCTACCATTTAAACATATTAGTAGACCTTGAGCATCAGAGGTTTACTCAATAGAGGTATCATGACAAGCAGAATGAAAAGTACTGCAAGGCAAATGACAAAACAGGATGCCAGCGCACCACTCTCTCTGGCATTTTCCCATCCATAAATGCATTTGCATGAGAAAGGAAATGCTGTCATGGAAATATCAGGAGTGACAGAAGAGTGCATTATATTAATTCAGCTCTAGATGAGGTGCACCTTAGAAAAGAAATGCTCCAATTAATGCAATTGCTTTTCTATTTTTAACATTTGGCTTGATGGTGTAAACTTTATTGTGATGATGCAGCTGATATATTGAATTAATATCCACTACTGTAATCAATGGAAATGAATATAGTTATTAGTCCACCCCCACTACCACTGATGGAAGAAGATTATTCCTTGCCATTTGATAGATGTGATATTTGTCCATGTTCCAGCAGGCAAAAAGATGCCTGGCGACCAGCTTGCAGCCCTGGAATTGATTTGACTTGGATGTTGGCCAGCAGCCAAGTCTCAGCCATAGACATGGAACAGTCAGCACCAGCATTTGGCATCAAACCCTGTAAGTAAGCCAGAAGTTGACAACCAGGGGCCCCTGAAAACCAAAGCCCCTGAATGAAGACACACAGTCTGCCCAGAACAGCACTGCCTGAGCTTGACTTGACAGAGTTACCAAGCCCCTCCTGATCAGAAACTTCATGCTCCCCAGATTTTGATCACCAACAGAAGCAGTGTTCGAGTTGGAAAATTTTACCTAACGGGGTGCTTAGGTCCAGGACCTAGGTCTGGACTCTCCACTCTTGGAGATGGACAAAGCTCAGCAGGGATTGTCAGGGCCAGGAGATATAAAAGAGTTCAGTTTGTAGGGTCACCAATGTGGTTCCCTCCAGATGTTTTAAACCACAACTCCCATCAACCCCAGCAGCATGGCTAGTGAAAATGGGAGTTGTAGTCCAAAGCATATGATGTAGTCCAAAGCCACATGATGGCTATCCTTGGAGCAGAGAAGAGATTGGACAGGATGATCAGTTCAGTGACTTATCTAGGGTCCTGAAAGCTCTGTATTTGACCATGCTTGCTCATGTTCTATATCTTTCATGCCTAAGAGCTTCCTGGGTTGTAACCAATGTTAGTTCTACCCAGAGTATTTCCATTGAAATTAATGGACATTGCTAACCTAGGTCCATTAATTTCAGTGGGACTACTCTGAGTAGAACTTAGTTGGAAACAACCCTGGGTCCTTCTCTGTACTAGTGCTCTGGAATCTGCATTTGTGCACAGGACTCTGCCTGGTCCTTGCTCAAGTCAACAGTTTTCCCTGGCTTTCGCTGGAGGATGAAGAACTTGAATTTGGAGCATGGTTTCCACCAAAATCTTTAAAGCTCAAATCAGCATGGTACATAGGCAAAAGAAGGTTCAAAAATACAACAAGTGCTGTGTATAGCTAAGCAAGCTAACAAGGGAGACAACCCCTTGGGCCTCATTATATGGGAATGGGATGGGCACAACTTCAGCGTGGCAAGTGGGGCTGTCCTTTGGACTGGGCAAGCAAGTGGGATTTCTGCTGTCAATTAAGCTTTGCCACGGATGCGCCCATGCAACTCTGACCTTGCAGCTCTGCCCAGACTCATCCAGCTAAGCAGCACTGGTGTCAGTATCAGGTGGGTCATCCCACTACATTCACCACTGGGGAGGCATGGCTGGTTGGCTGGAACAGGAATGCCCCTAGTAGGTTGAAAGGCACCACTGCACAAGACAGACCCCTGCACAAAATCAACAGCAGCTATTTCCTCCTGCTTAATTACCTAATGAGACTGAGACTCCCATTCAGCAGAAACTGTGAATGTTGTCACAGTTGTGGCAAGGTGAAGGGAACTTGTGGAGGGAGAATTTCCAGTACCTTTCTCTTCAGAGTCCCATGTACTACATGAAAAGCTTCTCTAAAGGGTCAGTGGGTCGGCCTGAGGAGTCTGGAATGAGGCATGGAGATGTTGAGGAAGTGGGAGAACTGCTCACAATCACAACCTTGCACAAGCAGAGCTCTCTCCTTGGGCAAAGTGTCTCCACTTTATTTTGAGAAACTCCTTCCACTCAAGGCACCTGTAACACATATCATGTTTTTCAGGAAGTAACCCCAACCCTGCAACCTAGATCTGGATGCAAGGCTGTCGATTTTCAAGTATCAGTGGCAACTCTAATGAAAGAATCCAATGTCATAGTGGATAGCAGTGTTTAAAATCACTCTTAGCTTGCAAACCTTCTGACTAATTTGATCACAAGAAATCCATTCATAGTCTGTTTTCCCTCCGGCTTGATTTAGATGTAAATTCACCACTCACTTTTTGCACCATATCTGCCACTGCTGTTTCAACCACTCTTCCAATCCCTATTTTAAATGACGCTGAATGTGCATTCATAGTCCACATCTGCACCATATATTTAAAGCACTATTATACAACTTTAACCATCTTTGTTCAACAACCAACCTCTCTTTCCAGGGAATTCTGGGGATTTCAGCTCTGTAGGGATCTCCTAACAACTTTCAGCACTCTTAACAAACTACAATTCCCAGGATTATTTGGGGGAAATCCATGACTGCCTAAAGTGGTATAGTATTTGCTCAATGGTGGCAACAATGATGTCAAGTGGGGATTCAGGGTAGGGCAACAATCTCCTTTTAAATATGTAAATAGTGCTAAGACAAGCTGTGTTGGTAGTCTTATATGGCAGCGTCCCTGTCCCTCCTCATTTGTTTGGCAACATTCATTTAACATTTGGTAGATTTCTATCCTGTCATTTTGACACTAGCCTGAGAAGTATGCAAATACAATCTGTTTGAGATTGCAGCCTAGCTCATTTATCAAGCCTACTCACTGCTCATGATCTAGTGGGGAATTTGTAAAGCATGTTACAGCTTGGAATCATCAGCAAGAATATAATGATCCCAGGGTTTGGGATGGATTTGTTTTATGGCTCTTGCATTCAATTCATTTTTTTGTTTACATGCTTCCAATTTTGGCTAGAAAAACTCAATATTCCAAGGAAGAACTTGATCAATACACACGTTATATGTATATCTATATCTGTCTTCAGTAGCTTGTCCTGTGTAGACTGTACAGAAATCAACCATAAAAACTATAACAAAATAATATCAATATGTACTGATTTCTTAATCTTCAAGGATAGGGAAAGCTTCTGCAGATGGTAACTACAGAGATTTTAAACTGTCAAAAGGATTTATCTTTTTGTTTATTTTATCTTCTTATTGAATGTAATGGTTGTGGAAGTGTAAATTGATAAAAAAATCTGAATCTATGTCTTCTGTACTTTAATTCAGTATCTCATTCTTATCATGATGGTTAAAGTAAATGTCATACCAGGAGTTGACATTTTTGCTGTGCAAATAGATCATTCTCCCATTCTAAGGTTTACCACCTCAAAAATGAGTGTAACTGGTATTCACTGTGGCTTTTCCCAACTGATTCGCCTCCCATTTCCCTTTCCCTTTCTCCCTAACAGCGAGTTTACTTTTATACTGTAAACCAGAGGGCTGAGCACATGCTATTTCTCATTTTAACACAGAGTACCACCTGCAATTGAAGGTGTCATATACACCAAAAGCGAATTCAGTTTCCCAGTGCCAACCTTATGTAGCCAAAACTGTAACATCCATGCACGAGAGGGAGGTAGCAGCAGACTTGGGGAACCCTCCAAGTTTGCAGACACACGCGCGCGCGCACACACACACACACACACACACAGAATTAAATGGGGGAAAACCTAGGCAGGGGAATCAAAAACAGTGCAGTGAGAACTAGCAGCTTACACAAAGTATCCTGGATGGGCTATTAGAGTTAAGAAGAAAACCACAAACTCTCTTTCCTGCACCATACGGTGATGTCCCAACTGGAAGGAAAGTGGGGAAAGATGCCTTCTACCTTCACTACTCTCCACAACCTTGCTATTTACCTATACAATAAAATCCAAATGATCTTGCATCAAGGGAAGGCCTTATGGGAGCAGAATGAGAGAGATGTCTCTTTGCTTACACTCCCCCTTAAAAATGAACAGAACTACAACGCTCCTGTTTGAGGCTAGCTGGAACCTTGAAGAACAACAGTGTGATGACTCACTGCAACATCTGGTTACAGGCCTATATGTTACTTTCAAATCCAATCCGCGAATTCTAGCAGAGTCTGAAATCTGCTTTGCATCTGCTTGCAAGTCACACTAACAGGAATCTGTGTTATATATTCATTATGCATGCTTCCTTCACTACCCCAATACCAGGAGACTCTTATCTAGGATACACAGTGCCTTGAATGCCACAGGGAGCCTCTCAAAAACCACAGGCTCGATACTGTCAGGAACTTGAAGCCAGCATGCAAAGGCAATCAAGAGTCAATGGGAACCAAGCGGCAGGTTCAAGCCAGTAGTCAGGACTGAAGAGTGAACAGAATCAGAAGGCAAAACAGGAAGCAGGACTGGAGGACAACCAGAGGACTAAGAAGCAAGCCCAGAAATGCAAGACACATTAGAACTAACATAGACTTTGCTGCTCAAGCAAGAGTGAGCTGGAAAAAAGTCCTATACTAGGGCTGCCATATATTTGGGAATCGGACTGTCAAAATGGCGTCTGGGCAGATTTTTGCTGAATTGGAAAAATGTCCAGGAAAATCCGTACATATGGCAACTAGGGCTATTTTATTAGAAAAATGCTCCCCAAAGACATAGTTTTTTGGGGGGAGATGTTTGCCACTCAACAACTTTGACTGAATTTTCACTTTGGGGAATATGGCAATCCTACCTATACCCCTTTATGCCCAGGAGGTGCCAATGCTTAGCCTGGGTTGGTGGAGCTAGGCTGCATCTAGAAGTCTTTAAGAGGCTGAAATTAGCTAGAGCACCACATGGTCAATAGATCCCAGCACTAGCTCATTTACTAATAGAGAGATAAGGAAAATGTGCAGGCAGAATGCTGCCCGATAGCTTACTAAATGGTAACTTGTTCCTGCCTTTCTGGCCTATGAATAAGAAAAAAATTAAATGCTATTTCATTGGCATTTGATGCAATTAGGTAATTGTAAAGAACATCAGGCTAGCTGGATTTTGTGTGTTGCCTGTCCTGCAGCGATTGCTGCAGAAATTATTACTTAAAAAAACCAAAATTCCCCAACCCCTTAGGCCTCCTGCATCTTGACACTTTTGGCTATGGCCTTGGCTGTCTTTCTTCACCTCTCTCTCAAAACTCACATTTCCTGTGACTGGTATCTTGGTTCTCACTCCCAAGTAAAACGCTGTATGTGTGACTGAATTTGCTTAAATCCCTCCTTTGTTAGCCTCAGCTCTTTCATTCATAGGAATGCAGGACAATGAGCCCATAAGTGACTGACTGTAGAGGCCAATTCCTACACAGTGCAACTGAGATCAATGCACATGCAGAGTGAAAACATCCAACATGTGCAACAATACTGAACAAGATGAAGTCTCTGTGATTATACTGAACAAAATGAAAATCAGTAAGAATCTGTCAAAGCTCATATCAGCAGCGGCATTTTCACAGAAATCAGTGTTCAGAATCAGAAAAGGGAACTACAAAATGGAATTATTCTGCCTAGTCATCTCCAGCCAAAGATTCATATATTTATTATAAATGCAAACATATAAAACGCCAGTTCTCAAACTAGCTCATTTGGAGGAATCAAAATTATATGCACAAATGTCATATTTCCTGCAAATAATTAACAATGCAATCTTACGCATGTGTCCTCAGAAGTAAGTCACACAGTGTTCAGTTGATCTTAATACCAGGTAAGATTGCAGCCTAAGTATATTAATTCAGGGATGCATTTTTTTTTTTAAATTAATCATCAGAGTAAGATGAAAGAGAGGTGATTATCCTACCTCTTCCAGAGCCCATAGTGAATCAACGAGAGGTTTGATCTTCTTCTCGTTGTACAGTTTTAAGAGTTTGTCCATTACATTTTGAATCAGGCCACTTCGGCCTTGTTTGAAAAGCAGGTTTAAGAGAGAAAATCCAGCCATGACTTTATTTTCTTCATATAGCTTGATCGGGTTCACTTTCTCCACTTGCCACCACTAGAGAGACAAGCAAATAGCAACAAGATCAGACCCATGTAAGTTATTTAGGCAAGTATAAAGCGCTAAAGTTTTATCCAATGTTAATTCTAGGCAGAATAGACCCAGTGAAATGAATGGACATGACTAGCCTCAATGGGTCAACTCTGAGTAGAACTAAAACTGTCAACCACCAGAAATGGCAATATTTAATTTTAAGAAATCGGGATTATTCTCCCGTGTGCACTGGTTTTGAGTCTGCAAAGCTTAGCTATTCTGTCAAAACAAAGAATGCTTGGTGCACTAGTGGTGGTGGGGCTGAACTAGGACTCAGCTAGACTGGTAAAGAAAAAGCTATTTATCCGTGTTGTATGTGCGATATAACATTGTGCCACCAGATGGCGATGTGGAGTCCCGTTTTCCTCTACCTGTTTTCCCTGTTTAAATTTACAACGCTTTAAACTGAAACACTTCTTTGATGTGTCTAGATCCAGCCCTAGAGGAGCTCAGAGTTCTTTTCTGAGCCAATGATTTAGTGACATATAAATGAGTACCATCTAGCCAAGCCACAAAGTTATTATACTTACTGATTTTGCAAAGCTGAAGAAACTTTTGGTTTCCCCGGTAACCATGTTTGATGAGCCTAGAAAAATAAGGGCCAGGGTAGGGGTGGGAGAAAGATAATTACATTTTAAATTAAAATATTGCTCATTGTGTGCCTTGAGGACCAGGCCTAAGAATTTGGAGATCCGAATCAAAATCTTAAAATAACATTCCAGTTCTCTGTAAAGATTTTATGAAAGTAGTACTGAGAAAGAATAGCACATCCTGTCCACAGTTTCAGAACACATGCAAACCTCTGAAAATTTGTGTCCATTCAAATATGCAGTGAGGCATCTGGTAGAGTCCAGCTTTCACCAAGCTGGTACCCACCAGATCTTTGGGGCTACAACTTGCATCAACCCCAGCCAGCAGGGCAAATAATAAGGGATTATGGGAGTTGTAGTCCAGCAGCATCTGGGGAACATCAGGTTGAGGAAAGCTGCCTTGTATGATCTTGTGTTTATGTCTTACATACTCCCCCCCCAGTACAGTACAATGCCTTACATACTTGTTTTTCAGCATAGTTCTTCCCAATTTCTGATAGCTGAAACACATTTCACTTTCCTTTGAATTAAAAATGGAATTTTGTATTTGAAAAGATTTATCTTCACTTGCTGTTTTTTTACAACTGTTTACATGGTTTGTTTGTTGTTGTTTTTTTAAAAAATGATAATAGTGTTCACAGCCAAAAGGGATAAAAATAAGATGAAAAGCAAAATGTTACAGACTCAAAAAACTAAAACCGATACAACAATTTCTACCAGGTGCATAAGACACCCTGAGAACAGTAATAGTTGGCATATAAACTGTAAATAAAACTAAAGTCTCTCTTTCAGTCTCTTCTATGTCCTTGACAGTGAAGGGAAACAGAGATGAACCAGCCTGGGCTTGGCAGTGTATACGTTTGCACACTGACTTGTAATATTTTTGAGGAAGGGCAGTTGAGAAATATTTTAACTGAAATGTGTGTGCAGAGAGCAGGCTTTTCCAACCTGGTGTCCTCCAGATGTTTGGGGATTGTATTATTCCCCATGGATGAGGATTTTCTGGATTGAACACACCACCTGTTGCTACTATTGATCCAGACCATTTTGCGGACACCAAGTTGGGGAAAAGCTGGTGCAGAACATCTGCTTTATTGGTGTAAACATATTGTCAAGATCCCAGATGAACGAGTTATTTTGTATGCATCCATAATTATGGAAAACTAGGAGAATCTAGCAGTATGAACTGATGATCAAAGACTGATTTGTAATAACTACGGATGCTGCCTGCTATGTTTTGAGTGTTTTCTTGTCATTTGCTTTTGTGGGGAGAGAGAGAGAGAGTGTGTAATTGTTTTGGAAGATGGTAAGTGAGCCAGCATGCCTGATAGGCCTGATGATTCTGGGGAGAACATCCTGGCACTCACAGAGCCTGCCCACAGACACTATGCCAACCTCATCATGGGCCTTTCACTCCCACCAGTCCCAGGAACTGCCAGATGACTGAATGCCCAGTAACAGCAAAGTGGGTGGGTGGGGGAGTTGTCATTGTCAAATGTAGATGAGAACTGAACTCTTAAGTATGGTGCACTCTCTGGCATACACCCACAGAGCCAAATTCTCTTCTGAAGAATTCTTTCAGAGATTGGGGGGAGGGGGTCCTTCTGTTTTTCTACCAAGAGCATCCTTTGTGAACAAGGAGAAATTGGGCTCACAGCCCAGATTCCTTGGTCCTCTCTTGGCAGGGAAGGGTGCTTTCTCTGTGCTGCCAAAAGGATACTTTGTGAGGCAGGGGAAGTGAAATCCTTGGGAGATAATATGGGGAGAGGGGTTTCTGCTAAACCTTTTGATATCATTGACAGGGTTGTTTCTTCCTCTCTTCCAAGCTAGGCTTGCTTTATATCCTGCCTCATCTCTCTGCTCCGCATCCCCCTCCATGACTCAGCTGTCAGGGTCAATCATGCAGTGATTCAAATCAAGACTTGAGATCAGTGTCTCCCAATCCAGAATCTGGAACAGACCACGGGGAGCTAAAGTAGGGGATGCTGCCAGAAGAGGTACTTGAGCTGGATCCTGAATTGTAGCAGGAAGTAGATACTGCTCACATATTTAAGACTCAACAATCTTACAGCTTGGTGAAATGCAAGCAAAGCACTGAATCAGGGAGCAGGTGAGTTTCTTATTAAAAAAAAGTAAGAATAGTGAACCTACATTTTGCCCTATATTTCAGGTTCTTCAAATACTAGAAGCCTATTCTCTCCACCCCACTCCCCACCCCAAATGAAAGCTACTGATCTGAGGATAATGGTTAATGGTGTGCCTGTGTGCAACTGCCCCTTTGCCCCCTGGATACCTTCAATGTATGAACAGGTAAAGGATGCCTGTAAACTAGATGCCCATTGCATTGCCTAGAGCTGGTGTAAATTTCTCTTATGTTCATTCAAGGTTCAAACTTCAAGGATTAGTATGAAAGCAGACTCAGAGGCAATTCAAATGAATTAGCACTTTTATGTTAGTCATGCTGACTGGGGCTGATGGCACCTATGGTCCATAATGTTCAGAGGCCTATCCCTGCATTAAGCACAGGTAGACATGCAGCCCCAGTCACATATGTCCTGAAGCTGCCTGCTTCTTCCATGTGTGTATGTGTCTGCGTATGTCTCCCTCTGTATAGTAATGCCAGAAAGGGATTACTTTCACTTGCTGCCCAGAACAGTAGCTGTGCTGCTTTTTGTTGTGAGGATAAAATGGGACAGAGAACCATGTATGCCACCACGAATTCTTTGGAGGAAAGGTGGGTTATATTGTAATTAATAATAATAATAATAATAATAATTGTATTTGTCCATTGAGGCCGCAATGATTGTTCATGCATACTGCATCATAGAGCAGTTCTGAGTTGATGTCATCCATTTCCACCATATGAGACACCATAGATTGATACCAATGACAACCTGAGTTGGCTACCATAGAGTGGCAATTGGCAGAGCGGGTGGGGTTCTATTTGCCAGCTGACTTTCACTCACCATATAAAATGTAAGTCCCGAGTGGTTTGAGAAGACTGAGGCCTTTGCCTGTATTTTCTCCACAAAGGCAGTCCAGGACAATGTCTACGCCATCAGCAGAGATTCTAAAAAGCAACAGACACAAATTAAGACAATGCGGCTTGCTGCCTTCGATTCCATAGACCTCAGAAGATTTTCTGAGGAACTGAAATCCATACACATTTTTTAAAAATGGGGCTGCATACAGCTAAGTCATATTCAGAGCAGACCCAATGAGAATGTAAGTTCGTCATGCTGATTGATTTCAGTGGGTCCACCCTGAGTATGACATAAATGGACTCATGAACCACAAGAAGGAATAAATGGTTCAAGTACTCACCACCACAGCCTACTCCTAAGAGACAGGTGCATAAATGTGCCAAGGTCCATAGATAAAGCACTTGCCAGTGTGAACATTCCTGTCTTATTTCAATGCATCTGCCGCATTTGTTAGACTTATACTCATGCCTTCTGAGAAAGTCTGCAATCTGTGGCTCAGATGACACTCGCATGATAACAGGGGGCAAAATCAGGGGTTTCTATGGGTTGTTATTTTTAAAGTTCTGCACAGTTATGTGCAAATGGTACAGAATGGATCAGGAAAGGGAATGGAATGGAACTAGACTGGATTAGTCTTCTCATTCCTAGTATTAACCATACAATTAAGATTTCTTGAGCCTCCTTAGACACCTTGTAACTTAGGTTGCAATCCTATACCTACTTGGTATGGACTCTGTATATATTGGGCCAATTTAGATGATGGGACTATAACCAGATAATTAAGTGAAACAAACCAGGGAAGTTAAAACTACAGGTTGTTAACCTCTGCAGCAGACTACAGAGGAAGAAAGGAGATATAAAATGTCATTATTTATTGCTACTGCAATTTTACAAGACAGGATGGGAGCAGAGGCCATCACCACAGAAATAAAGATAAATTACAGCTCAGTTTATAGGAGTGCATAAAGACAACAAAAGCAGGGATTGTGAGCATTTTAAGTTAAGAAGTAACTGTAATTACAACTGATTGTAAGGACTCCACCGAACACAGACATTTGCTTTGCATAATCATGTCCCCCCTTTTTTTTGAGTGAGGCAAGCCAGTGTGGTGTAGTGGTTAGAGCAGGGTTGGCCAGCATGCAGCCCATGAGTCACATACAGCATACAATAGGTTTTTTGTGCCCCTGTCATTTTTTAAAAAACCCACACATTTCACTTAAAAATAATAATACTTTGTCTAAGGTGACACGATGCCAAAAGAATTTTGTGGCCCCAGAACTGGTCTATTTGTGTGTGTGTGTGTGTGTGTGTGTGTGTGTGTTGGAGGCAGCATTAACATTTATTGCTCCACCCACTTTCCATTTTGGTTTGGCCTGCCACAGACATAAGGTCCCCAGAAGATTATTCAGAAAGGAAAGTGACCATTAGGCTGAATAAGTTTTCCCAGATCTGCCTTAAAGGATAAAAAGCCAGGATTCAAACTGTATTCCCTTTCTCGCTTAAATGGCAATTTCTGGTTTTTTGTTTTGTTTTGTTTTTTTGTTTAATAATTCTTCATCCTAACCAAACCTGTGAAATCCTGGCAATAGGCCAGTTTTGACTGCACTCTGCAATTATAAACTATATTTGCGTCACTGATCATAGCAGTTGTAAAAAAAGAGAGAGAGAGAGAGAGAGCTAATTTTAATTAAACAGTTATGGAAATGATTGGTGGAGCTAAAATGGATAATTGCACCCTAGAGAGACTGAAAGGCATAAGGTGCACCAAATATTTTTTAATCCACACAAAAGGCATTTATTTTATAGCAATGATACTGTCTGAAATTAGATAATAGCACCTATAGTCATAGCACAGCCTAAACTTTGTGGCCTGAAAGATTTTTTTTCTTTTTTTTTTCGGAAACAAGAAGAGCACCTGCCACTAGATGTGTGATTTAGGAAAACATGAAATACTAGAGAGGCCTCAACTAGAAGTCGGATGACTGCAACCTGCAATATGTTCCTGTGGTTGTGCAATGACATCATGAAGCCCTTTGCTATTATACATCATGTGACATTTCAGCACCACATAAAGCAAGCTGATTGCTCAGTTCCATGGGAGCATAAGGCTTGTTGGATAAGCAGGCAGTGTCTGATTACAGTCAATTCAAGTCAGAAAGCAGAAAGGAACAGGACCTTGGACAGTTCCAAAAAAGGCCTGCTAAGGCACCCATAGGAGCTGTTGTCTCCACATCGTGCAACAGCCAACTGAAGCCTTAAATAAGTTGTTGTTCTTGTTATATTTTTTTATACCCCACCTTTCTCCCCATCAGAGACTCAAGGCAGCTTACAAATAAAATAAGGACAGGTAAAATAAGTTGACCAGCCCTCAAGTATGGTTGGCTGTGCCTCTACAGAGGAGTTGGCTGGCTGGCTACAGGGCCCTCACATTATTTTGACTTCTTTGAGGCTGAGGAGATAGAGGTACTCTGGGGACTCATCTCCAGGGTCAGAGGATAGTGGCAAGGCTGTGTCCTCTGGCCAGGAGGGCCCTGAATGAAGTACTTGTGGTTGTGTGTCCCCCGCCCCTCCCAGTGAGAAAATAGGTTGAACCTCATCCACCTCTGTGTCTTTTGCCATTCACAGTAATAACAACTCATCATTCTGGTTTAGTTCAAGAATGCCCTAGGGAGAAACTTGAGCCCCTGCCCACTTAGCTCAATTGAGGTACTGGTTTGCATTTTAACAGGTGTCAATTGGATTTTCCACCTCTTTTCATCTTAGTAAGTTGAAATAATCTTATTGAAAGATATAATCCTTTGCCCCGAGCAATAAAAAAGGAGTGTAAGCTAATAATATCTTTTGATGAACTTCCTCTTGTAAAAGCACAATGATTAGCCTCTCCTTTCAGAAACTAAAAAAAACTTTTAATGTAGACATCATCCTCTTTAGAGCCAGTTCATGCAATATCTTTGTCGTCCTTAAGAGCAGTCCTGATGCTTATCTAAGAATATAAGGGTAAAATCTCAGACCTTCCTTGCTACCTCATGGAAGTTCCTAGAACATGAGTCACTTGCAAGGCATGGGCAATGAAGGTTACATGGGGAATGGACAAGCACACAGATCTTCTCTAGTCTCTTGTGCAGCCTGCTTGAGTGCCAAGGCATATGTGTAAGTGGGGAAAGGGGGAAAGCAGGGCTCTACTGAGAAATCTTGGCATCCTTCCTAATCCATGGTGTAAGTGGATCATGCTCATAGCATGCAAAGCTGCTGGAGCACAAAGATAGTTAAGCGGTCATTCTGTGATAACCACAGCAGCTGGAAAAACTGATGGGATTTGCTGCTGTGATCTATATTTATGGTGTTTATTAGTTGTAGTTTTGCACTCAGGTGCCTCAAAACAACTTACATGGTAAAAATAAAACAACAAAAACATTAAAAGCAGATGAAAATAATAAACAAAAACTAAAATACTCATCTGACAGTATAGTTAAAAGGAACAAGTCCTCCCCACATCAGTTAAAGGATGAGCTGAACAAAGAGACATCAACTAGCCTCCCTGTTAAAAAGTCATAAGTCTGCGTAAATTAGAATGTGTGTGTCTGGTGCCTAAAAACAGGTGGCAATGGTGCCAGGTGTGGTTCTCTGGGGACAGCCTTCCACAATTAGGCAGCCATCCCATAATTCTCAATGAAGGATTATAAACCCACCCACCTATAATTATGATGAAAGCCTACAAAATAGGACAACAGAAATCATATATTGAACATAGCTCACATTTTAGGTTGTATCCAACTAAGCTCTACTCTAGCTGGAAGGAAGAGCAGGATATAAACTAGATAATAAATAAATACTCAGAGTACACCCATTGAAATTAACAGACCAAGTTAGTTATGCCCATCAATTTCAGCAGGTCTACTTTGAGTATAAATAACACTTTGCTAGCTCTTATAGTTATTCTCAACAAGTAAAATAAAGCAAATCCTCTTACTTTTTAACTTCTTGGACATAATCTGCATTTCGGTCAAACAGGTGGGTTACAGAATCTTTGATTGCCTCATGCTTGAAGGAAGAAGCTGTTCCAAACACGGTAACGTCGGGGACTGTTGAGCAGAGCTGAGCAACGGCTTGTCCCTGCAAATGCACCACTGCATTAGCTATTCTGACAAATGGAGTCTTTTATCTATCTTTTATTTATTTGGACCCCTTGGTTTAGACCCTCTCAGTTGCTGAAGAAGTCATATGTCCCCTCCTGCAAGTTGCAATGAGACCAAGCAATGGGGGAATTGGGTTCCTTTTCTAGACCAGGAAGACCTTGTTGCTCAAGAAAGGCTCAAGTGGACAGCCAGGAGGTTCCAACAGCCAGCCTGAGTTGGTGGAGTTAGTCCAGCTTCTGAAGGTACTTCATTCAAAAGCTGCCAGCAGTTCAGTGTTTCACCACAACGGGCAGCTATAGATGGACTCAGCTATTCTGAATCCTGATATGTGAAGAGCATCCAGAGAAGAATGCATGGGTGTTTAAAATTCAGGATCCAGTTTCATCAACTTTCATTTTGGAATTCTCTAGCATTTAATGGAAGCTGATATTATTGGTGTTACTGATCGAGTCTCTTCTGTTTAAAATCTTGCTTTTTTGAAAATATATATATATTGCTGTGTTGTTTCTCTAAAATGTTGTTAGCAACATTGAAAAATCTTTAACTTAGAGATAGGAAAGTAATACTTTCAATAAATAACAGGTTCCCCAACTATGTGCCACAGACCACCAGCAGTTTCTGAGTTTCATTCAGGAGATATGTGGCATGTCTGTGAGGAACACTTAAAATCTATAAATTCAAGATGTAATATAATAAAATGCAATATAACAAATAAAAGAAGCAATGAAATACATTTAAAGTCACACAGCATCTAGCACACTACATTACAGTTGCTAAAATAGGCAGGGTTTTTTTGTTTTTTATTTAGTGATCCATCAAAACTCTCAGTAAATTTCACATGGTCCATGAGAAATTCAGTTTGGGAATCACTGTAATAAATCAAATGAATATAATGATGAGTGAGAAGCTACCACCTGTAGTTCAGGAACTCACCACCTGGGGCAGCTGTGCACAGATTCAGGTGTTCTTTCTATACTGCACTTCTCCCTGTCCAGGATCCCCAAACACTTTTACTTGTGTCCACCCCTTTGGCCTTCTCCAATATCTTAGAGACAAAACACTTGATCATGTATCTATTGCTAGACTGTACCACTTCAAGTGAGGTGGGAGGGTTGTATGTTTGAATGAATATCCTGCCTGTTACAGGTTTGCAGGCCAGGAGGAACCTAGCTCAGATTCTGTTTTTAAAGGTGTAAAGTGAGTCTTCTTCCAGACAACAGCCATGTGACAGTCAAAATTAGAATGATTTTAAAGTGATATTAGTATAGCACCCTGATTGAAGACCTAATTGTATTTTTTAAAAAGGAAAACCTTCATCCGGTGCTTTGAAAATGCAGACTAAAATGTACACATATGGGCTTTAAGTATGATGCATTGGATTTCTAGGTTCAGCAAGTTTGCACTGACAATGGATATTCAATATGTGCAGGAAGGCAACAGCATTAGTTGATGTTTCTTACAAAAAGGGAAGCAAAGCTGCACTCTGACCCAGCTAAGTTTTGTAGTTCAAACATATGACATTCCCTTTGTAGTCACCTCAAACTGTTTTGAGTCAAACTTGAAACTGGAGATCAAGTTGCTGCTATAGGGTAGCAATCAATGCTTCTGCATGAATCTCTTTTTGATTTTAGTTCCTGAGGGAAATAATATTTGAATGGGGGAAAATGTCAATAGTCACTCTGTTAAACCCAGTTCTTGGACTGAAACTGATTTAGGGCACAACTAGACATTACATTAATGGCATGAACACAATTAGTGTACATCTCAGCTATTGGGGGGGGTCTGAGCAACAACAGGACCGCAGTGGGTGGGGAAGGGGTATTTAACTCCTTCCATTCTTACATGGTCCCCTCCTCCATTGGTTTGCTATTTGCATCCATAGTGAAATTTACAATCCATCTCTCTTCCCAGGGAACTCTGGGAATTGTAGCCCTGTCCACACAGGGCTACAATTTCCAGGGGCCTCCTAACAAATCTCAGCACCCTTTACAAACTACAGTTTCCAGGATTCTTTTTTTGGGGGGAGGAGGATGTGGTATCATACTGCTTTAAATGCATGGTACAGATGAAGCCACAGTTGTGTATGCACAGGCTCTGTTCAGAACTTTAGTTGACTGGGTGAAGGTTGGGAATTAGAATAGTTAGCCAGAACCCTTGTGTGTTAATTGAGTAGGTGAGAGGCCTTAAGCCTGTCTTCCTCTCTTCCCTTTAGGCTTCAGCCACAGAGGCAAAGGAGCATTGCACCAATGTTCTTCCCACACAGTCAGTGATATGGGTAAGCTCAGGTGATGGCATAGGAGGTTAACCAAGTGTTTCGGAACAGCTCCCGCTATGCTTAAGAACTCCCCTAAGTGGTGTGCCAATCAAGGTCCCAAATGGAAGAGAAGAAAGCCTCTTGAAGGCCAAGTGGTATAATCAGCATGGCATATTGTGATTTACATTGATCTCTTCCTCTGAGAGCCAGGCATAGCAATAAATTAGAAGGAAAGAGCACACAGACCTTTCAATGCCCTCCTTGGTACAGATGAATGAGTAGCCTGGTGTATGCTCAACCCCAAAAATCAATTGGGCCTTTCAAGCATTCCTTTTCAACATTTGGAATCAAAGCTGTGGGTGTGCTCAAATCCTGTTCCCAGAAGGGGACATTAGGAACAGGAAGGAGATACCCCAAGTCCAATTTTTAATGACTACACTACACTGGTTTTCTGGACATCAAAAAACTTCTGGGGTAAGGGACTTCCGGGGTGGCGCCATCGGCAATGGCGGACTCCCTCTGAACTGGAGGGACTAGCTCCGCGTGAAACGGGTCTTCTCCGCTACGGCGAAGCGGGGACCCTTTCAAAAATCACAGGCGGATGAAGCCTGTGACCATGGGACTCGGCGGGCACCTTTAGCGCCCCTCCAACTCGCTAAGGAACCCACTAGCGGGCTCCGAAGTGAAGAGGGGGAAGTGGCGCGGTGCTGTGAGTCAACTGCTATTTCCGTGGAGCGAAGCCGCATAGCCGTTGCCGGAGAGCGCTGCCTTTTTCCTGGGACAATTTGGACTCTAAAATAAGCACCCGTGAGTACTTAGACTTGGAACAACTGGACATCAAATAAGGACTTGCGAGCAGAAAGGAACTGGATTTTAAAAACCTATTTTAATTTGGTACGGAACGGGAAGGTCTAAACAGGAAGTCAGCCTTCCGTTCTTTTGTAGACAGAATAAAGCAAAGACAACGTAAACTAGAGCTTAGAAAATCGCCTTTAAAGGATTGGATTTCATCATTTAAAATTGTGGAACCCCCCTTCGACAGCAGGAGAAGGAGGGGGATCTTTTTCAGACTGTTTAAAGTGAGTTTAAAGTAAAGTAACTTTCCTCCGTCCTGATCCTGGAGCGGGGTGTCAGGACTGACGTTTGAAGTTCATTGACCAGAGACAAGCGTTTTTGACAGATAGCTAAAAGAAGAGAAACATAGCGATTCCACTGCTTCCCTTCGCATCTTTAAGCAACAAATATGGACAAAGTATCTCAAAAAGGGAAACTTTGTTGCAAGAACAAATAGAAGTTTTCCCCCTAGAGGGAGACTGCGAAACTGTAACCAACTCCAGGGAGCCAGCAGCTGTTACAGATTAAAATCGTGGGAACAGGCATCTGACTTTGCAGGACAATGTATTCAGAAGCTTTGTTGTGTGCTTTCTATGAAACAAGTGCCCTACTGGAACAGTTACATGAGAAGGTGAATTGGATGGTGACTTCGACTAGAAATTTTGAACAGGCAGTGGGAAATTTTGAACAGACAGTGGGAAAATATGTGGAGCCCACTCAGGAATTAAATCAGGAGTGTGTCCTGACAGAACAGGCCCAACAGGAATATGAGTTTGTGGATTTGACAAATGAACTTGGAAAAAGCCAGATTTGGAAAGAAAAAGTCTGGTCTGGCTTGGAAATGGGGGGCTGGATTGACCCCCCTATGCTGGGATGTTTGGACTTTTCAAATCTGGCAATGGGCCGTGAGATGTTTGGGATTGTGGGGGCTCTTAATTTTAATTTTGGAGGGTCTTTGAAACATGCTTTTAAATACCATATGGAATTCAGTGTTGAATATGGAAAAGGGGCTGATCTGTCGAGAAGGGTTAAAAATATTGTCAAGCTGGAGTTACCACGAGCAGGAGACAAGGGAAAATACAGTTATAAATATGAAGAAGAGCTGCGGAAGGGACATGGAAGAGACTTGAGGGCCTCGGATATAAGGCTGCCAGGTTAATGGGCTAGATCGACGGGATAATAAGGACTGACAAAACCCGGAACCAGGAGGAAAGGACGTTGGATGAAGATTGGATCTGTTTGTATCTCTCTTTTTTCTACCATTAGAACTGTTTTATAAAATTGATGAATGTCAGAAAAATGTTGGAATGAAATTACTTGGCTTTAGTAAAGATGTTTAAAGAATTATGAAAGAATATTATGGTTATGAGAAATTGGTAAGGATAGGATTTAAGTTTTAAGCTTTAAGGTTTATTTTATTATAGTAAGATAAGATTAAGAGGAGGAGGAGGAGGAGGAGGAGGAGGTCAAAGAAAGAAGGTAATGACAGTTGAGGATTTGAGAATAATGAATTTGTTTTTAAATGTTTTTAATTGTTTGTGATGTATTTTTGTATTTTTATTTTTTTGGTCACTTTTTCTTATTTTTGAATTTGTATTCATATGGTTGGAAGGGGTTTGTTTTTTTTTCTACTTTGTTAACTATTTTTATTTTGTACTTTCTACTGCTTTTGTTTTATTTTGTAATACTTTGAAAATTTCAATAAATATCTTATATATAAAAAAAAACACTTCTGGGTTAAGAAATATACTTTCTGTCTTTTTATTGCACTACAAAGCAGGGAGGATGCCACAATTGTGGGCTCTACTGATTCACGTTTGCTCAGGTCTTCACAAAACTCAGAAGAGGCCTTGGCTGTAGCTTCCAACAGATCAGATTTTTCAGAAAGCAAACGTGCCCTTAGATGCTTAAAATGCATTAAGCAGGGAAACTGAATTTTGCACTGACGTGAACAAAACAAGCACAGATGCTCTGATGCCACAGGGCCCCCATTGATTTTTCTGGACATTTCAGTATGCCCATGACATTTGGGAACAAAGTGGGTACATTCAAGGCCCTTGAATTTATTATCGGGAGAAGTCCAGCAATGTCTAATCAGAAGCCATTTCCAAGGCCTGTTTCCCTGCATTATTCATAATGAACTTTATGTGCAGCTAAAGTTGTTGCAGTGGATTAATATGTGGAGACTTAGTGTGGGAGCCTCTGGCTTAATGTTCTTGTGACTTTGGCAGTTCATTCTCTCTAATGCTTAGCTGGATGCCAACACCCCTAGATAATTTCTTTACTGTTCGGATTCGGGAGGGAGGTGGAGTGAATTTAAGAGTAGGAAGGTTTTGTAAAACTAGGTTTTAACCCGTCCTGGTGCACAATTAAGAACATAGGAATCTAAGAGCAGCTCTCTGGATGAGAATGATGAACCACCTAGTGTATGTTGGCAATGTGTCCTACTGTACAGAAGGCAATCCTGTCTGAATGGTTTTCTGGTCCAAGTTCCATTTAAAGATAAATAACTCTCAAGACTGGAGAGTAGGGGCCTTGAAGTGGCCCACCACAGTTCCTGTTTACCCAGGCTTTTGGATCTCAATTTAACAATAATGTGGAATAAGCCAGGCCTGGTCTGATGTTCAACTTTTAATGGGGTAGGATTTGTCCCTTTTTATTCTTTTGACGGATGAACACTTTTATTATTCCTGCGTTATATTATCTGTTGTTGATTTTAAATGTTTGATAAGTGGATACAAATATTAATATTCTGTAAGCTACTTTGACACATTTTAAAAATGCAAATAATAATAATAAAATATAGTAATTATTTCTACATTTGCATCTATTTGCATAAATTAGCATATGAAAATGTTATGGAAATCCAAATCCTCTTCTGCCCTCCTTTTTTGTTATTCATTTCCTACCCTTTCGTGATATATTAAGTGGCTTCCCTAAATATCAGGTCGTGGCCATCACTACAGCTTGTGACAGTGAACTCCTTAAGTTAATTACACACTGAAGGGATACTTGCATTTGAATTACTGTCAGTCAGGGTCAGACTAGATGTGATGCTTGTTATGCAGTTTGGCATTGAGTAGCTGTTTTTTTTTTTAATAAAAAAAACTAAATAACAAGTGGTGCGGGATGTGGTGGGGTAGGGAGAAAGACTTGGATCCTCTATGCACTGTGGGAAGAGAGAGGATTTCACAAGGGTAGGAGGGATCTTTCTCAGCCCAAGGGCGACATCCCATTCTGGGCAACCTTTTGTCACCCTGTTTTGCACCTTTTCCAGTCTCATGATACCTTTCTTTTCCTTTATTTGCTTCTTTTCTTTTAAAAAAGTGTAATTAGAAATGTGCAGTGTATTCCAAAGGCTCTTTCTCTTCCCCTCTTTTGGACATGTGCCTCATGGTTTGCAATTTCATTGGGGCAAGGATCTGCCCTTCTTTTGACCTGTAAGGCACTGTCTATTTAAGTTAAAGAACACACTAACACGGACCACAATTGCCCTGTGGTGTCCCTAAGCCCAACATTATTTTTTTAAAGCTCTGTGTTATTTTCAAATCCCACACTTGGGATTTTTTTTTTTTTAAAAAAAATTCAACAAGAATAAAACAGAGCTCCTCTGTACTGTACTGAGCTGTAATAAGATTATAAATTCCAGTCCTTTACTGCAATGGGTCATTCATCTTAAACACAATTATTTGGGGCTAAAGAGATTTTGTGCTAAAATGATTTTTATCCTTGTTAGGGCCAGTTGTAGCCTGCATGGTCAGGATTTTGGCAGACAGTGATGATGGGCCCCCAGAGCTTGCAATCTTCTTTTCCAAATACCTTCCAAATCTTTCAGGTTGGTTATTTCTTTTAGTGATGGGGTGAGGGCAGTGGTTGTCAGATACAGAAGAGGCAAGCCTCCAACCCCTGGCTGTTGAGTTGAGATTGAGTTGAGGGGATCCTGACTCAAGAACCATCCAGTTTGATCTCTCTCCTTCTGGGGAGTGAATCGTCAGAGTTTAAGGAAACACTCCAGCAAGGCAAAAAACAAAAAACAAACAAACCCACTGAAATTTGACACACAGGTTGAAAGTTATAATTCCTTTTAGGACAAAAGTTAAGCCAACTTACCACACCGCCGCCTGCAGAGTGAACCAGCACCGACATGCCTTCTCTCAAGTTGGCGACTTCAAAGAGCATCATGTATGCAGTTACAAAGTTCATAGGAAAAGCAGCAGCTTCAGAAAAGCTCATATCATCAGGGATTTTGTACACAAATTCAAGAGGTGTGCACACAACTTCTGCCCAGCCATTGTAGTTGACAAAGGCCATGACTCTGTCTCCAATCTGTAGACATTTTGGGGGGAAACACACATTCGGGTTACAGCTTTCAGGATGTCCCTGGCAACATGGCTACAGAGGAATGGAAAGCTCAACAGGGAACTTTTTATGTCATTGCAGGCAGGCACAATTGTTCCCAGTGGGGAACAGTTCACACATTTACCTACCAGCCATTGAGTGTATGTCTAGCATATAAGGATCAAATGACACACATGTTGCCAAAACAGTAGTCTGGGATAAGAAATATGATTCAAGGGCTTTTAATTCTTGCCTCAAATATCAATTTGTGCCCATAAAGACTTTCCCTCTGTGGATTTCCCATAGTGCCTACCCATTTCCCACTAAAAATAGAAATAAACATCTACCATAAACATCTTGAAATAAATATCTACCATAGTTAACAGACTATGTTGAAGTGTGTGCTTGCTATGCCCATAAAATTTTATTTGGTTTGCAGATGTGCCCAGAGCCTAAAATGTTGGTGACTCCTTGGACAGTGTTAAACAACAGCCTCCAACACTGCTATTTCAATCAATATAGAACCCGCTGCAACTAATTTAAAGCAAAAATATACATGTTGGAAGATTTAACTGCATGCCTTCATTATGTTTCTCTATAGCTCTTATTCAGTCAGGTCAGGGAGGTTTCTTATAACTTGCCTTTTAAAAAAAAGGACAGGCAAATTGGAACTGCACAGCTCCTTTGTAGATAATGAATTATCTCAAAATCCCGCCAATCCCTAAAGCTTAGAAAAGTTGCAATAGAGGAGAGCAGCAAATTATCCTACTGACCTCAATGAACAGGTTTTTTCATCTTCTCTGATCACTGCTAGTGTTATATCAGTGCATATTTTCAAGTTCTTAGTGACATTTTTGGACTTTGCTGGAATTATCTTGAAATTATCACAAGTGTATGTGTGTGTGTTTTTTTTAGTATAGATTGTATTTTTACTGCAAACTTTATATCATTGCCTTCTCATACCTACAACCAACTTTATCATTTCCTTTTGACAGATTCTAAAATAGGAAAGCAATTCATATTACTCTTCTGGCTCAAATTCAATTACAAACAAAGAGATATTACACCAGAAGAAAAGGTTGGTGGTGGAGAGGGACTAATTTCAAATATGATACAGTAGAAATCCTTTTTTTAAAAAGGGAAATTGTTATTCTATATATCATGTTCAGCATGTTATGTTGAAGTCCATAAGAATAAAGGTAATTTATTTGGTAATGTTCTCTGCATGTTTTGCTATAGATAATCTTCACATTGGTGCTCAAATATTTTTCAAGAGGAACATGCTGTTTTAGAGGACCCTAGAAGCTACTGAAACCCCGCCTCAAGAGTTCAGCTTGAATTTGAGGACAAAAAGTGGGGGGGGGGGGTCAGAAGCAAACCTACAGGCCTTGCCCATGATGTCCCTACCTGTCTGATTCCCTTCCCTCTTCACTACTGAACTTCATGTGTTAAGCACAAAAATCTGATGGCTTGTTAACTCCATTGACACACACACCCAGAAACCTCTCCATGATCAGGAACCCTACAAGTGATAGGGAACCCAACTAAAAACTTTGCCTGTGATTGGTTACTGGGTCAGGTATTTTGCCTGTGATCAGGAACCCGATCATGAAAGAAGTCCCCTTCAGAACTTCAGGGCATGCGGTGCCAGATTTAGGTGGTGCAGGCAGTTCCCCACACAGGGCACTGAGCTGACGGGATACAAATTAGTGCACTTGAGAGCATGTGCAGAATGGGAGGCAATGGTGCTGCCATTTTTGCTGTATCAGCTACAGAAGCAATGACCCTCACACCCTGAACATCAGAAATAGAATAAGTGAGGCCTATAACAAAAGTTTGCAGTGTGGACTGTTCTTGTTCAGTCCCCTTCCTTCAGGAAACTTTATTCCATCCCCCCCACCCCCAGTTTGTCTACCACTGCCACAAATCAGCATTCTGTAGCCACCGAGCACACTTAGTCCTCATCTGGATATTTTTTATCTACCTCAATGATTTTGCACACCTCCAAGTGTAATCATACCTCCCTCTTGTCTGTAGGTGGTGCCATTTTGGCTACATTAGCTGGGCAGTCACACCTGAACGTCAAAAATAATGATGATATCATCATATGGGTCATTTTGATTTTCAACGTCTTTATCAACAATTCCTATCGTTGAATGTGAATTTTTCACTTCTGTGGCATACCAAATTGAAGTTTTCCTTAAGCTACCCACCACAACTAATATGTGATCATATCTAATAAATACATTGCCAACGCCCCAATCAGATATACATATGAGATTACCTCATAGCCTTTCACATTATCACCCAGAGCTTCTACGATCCCAGAGCATTCAAATCCAGGCACAAGTGGAGTTTTGGGTGGATTGTCAATGTTCCCCTGCCGAACCATCAGGTCAATAAAATTTAACCCACTGTGAATAAAAGAAACAAGTAATGAGGATGCGTATCACAGTACAGTAAACAAAGGAGACAAAATGTAGGTTAGACTTACGCAATCTGGTGTCCTCTAGATGTCATGGACTAGTCCCATACATTATGCCATCAAAATAAAACAATGACCATAACAGCCACAGGATGCTTTGGCAGCACACTAGTAACAAAACAACATTGTCTCAGTCAATTAAAAGTCCTGGGAGAAAAGGTAAGTCATTACCTGGTGCCCAAAATATGTCAGTGAAGGTGCCAGGCAGTCCTCACTAGAGAGAGGATTCCACAGATGGGGAGCCACAACTAAATATGCCCCCTCTTCTGTCATCACCCTCCAAGCCTTCCTCAGAGGGCCACCTGGAGAAGGGCCTCTTAGAAAGCACTAAGGGTCTGGATAGGTTCATATGCATAACATATGAAATGGAGTTTAGAGAAGTCTTTTCCAGGTTTCAACATCAATAGCATAGCCATCTCCTTCTGAATCTCGGGAATTGCATTACCCACCAACTGGTCACTGACAAACTGATGACACAGGTACAGGTGACACAATGACAGAATTCGCTTTATATATTTAATATTGTCTTCTGTAAATAGATTATGTAGGATATACAGAGCATATTTGAAAAGCATAACTGACCTAATCCAGATGGGTATTCACTTTCTGCGTAAAGTCTGTGCAGCAATTTGACATGTCTCCTTATGAATTATTTGTACTTCACTGTTTGCATTTGTGAAGTCTTTCAAAGCTATATTAAGAGACCATGCACAACCCACATTTGAAAAGCACATTTTAGAAGGGGAAAGGCCATATTATGTAATTCCAGCAACCACACTGACCTACAGAAAGCCATCTCTTATCCAAACACTGAGGTAGACACAGGATGGAAATGAAAACTGAACTGAGCATCCACAGCAAAAGACATGCCCATCAGGATTAAATGAAAAGCTCAAATCTTGATGCATGTTGGATTTCTCTTGAAAATCAGCTAGGGGTGGATATGACTTGGGAGAAATGGTCTCACAGGCCTAATTAGGACCCCTGGTGGGCCTTTATGCAACATCCCCCAGGGATGTTGCATAACATCCTACCTGAGTTCTGAAGAACTCAAAGGTTTGCTAAATACTTTGCAATATTTGAATTGGCCCTAATAAAGGTTTTGTTTTTCTGTGGATCCCACCATGGACCAACAAAGATACCTATGATAGGTTCATACCCATTGAGTTTCCCTTTCCTAGGGTGGCCGGGTGAAAAAGAGAAGTTATTGCAGCTTTGATAAATAGTTTTAAGCTACACCTTTTGAAACTCCCTCTTGCACACAACTATTAAAGGTGTACAAGCCCAGTGCTGGTGCTGAAGACTGAAGCAAAACTATCCATGTATTGGAAGAGTTTTTCTCAACTTGAAAAGATCCTCACTGCATCTCTGGTAAACATGACTAACAGTGCAATCCTATACATGTCTATTCAGAAGCAAGCCCCATTGACTTCAATGAGACTTACTGCTAAGTAAGTGTAGCTAGGATGCAGCCTAAACAAAGCAAAATGGGATTAACTATATAAACCTTTTTCCTTGACTGGTTCTGCTGTAGGCAGACTCTGCTACAAGAAAATTTCACTGTATTCCCAACACTGTAAGAAAAACCCTTGAGACAGGCCATTTCCTTCTCTTTGTGTCCCCTCTCAATATCAGAAAATAATTAATGCTGTTTAAAGATAGAAACATGTTTACACGTTGCCTCTCTGTAGAGATGCCAGAGAAACTAACCATTACATTGCCTTTGAAGTCTCGTAACAGACTTGGATGTAATCTCAGAGAACAGCTCCAAACAAAGAATGTGATAACAACACGTTAGTGGAACTAGATTGTTTTGGTTACTACTAGAAATTGGGGCCCCTCCCAATCCAAGGCGGATTCAAGTGTATAAGGGAGACACAGAACTCTCACTGCCTTACGGCACTCCCTCTAGTAGCAAACTCAGGTGGTGAGTGCCAAAACTAGGCCACTGAGAAACAGGGGTGTGAGCATGTGTATCAGCTGCTTAGGATAACCCTAAATTTTGCAGACCTCCAAAATCCCTAAGGAGCAATCTCTACCCCAAACTAGTCCAATGAGGAATGAGCCACAGAATGCCGAGTTGTTTGGAAAAGGAAAAATAGAAGAAGGTGGGAATGTGTTACTTTGACGGATTAGCCAGCTGGAATCAGGAATAGGGGCATATCTGTTAGGAATGTTGAGGAGACATTGCAGCATTTTGTTGCAGTTGACACTGGTCCTGTCTGTTTTGTGCCATGGCAAGCTGTCATCAGACAACCTTCACAATCCAGGTTTTGGCTGCAGTTCTATACTCACAACCATTCTACATTCACTGAGTGAAGTGGAGGCGGGGGGAATGGACTTGCATCCACTGCCCATATCTTCAACCTTAGCTGTACCCATGAACAGGGACTACATGCATACAAGTGGACATAATCACAGTTCACACATTCATTGAACATGGAATTGCTGTGTGAACAGGGCTTGTGAAGGATAAAAAGCCCTGTTTTCAGACTTCGATACTTCTCCCTGTATTGCTTCCGCACCACATTTCAAATTTCTGTGTGGAGGTAAACACCAATTTTGATATCCCTTACGAGCACCTGTGCAAGTCTTCTGGTTTCCTGTACACCTCTAAGCCAGGAGTAGAGAAACTGAAGCCCCCCAGGTATCCTGGACTACAACTGCCATAAATCCCTGCACATTGGCAGAGTGGGAATTACACCCTGATGGAAATGATAGTACAAAACATATGGAGATCATGAGGTTGGGGAGAGCTGCAATACACCATGCTAACTCCTATAATATCACATCCTTCATGTGGGGATAAAGAGTTCTTGCACCGATTGTTCATATGCAAAGCAGTGTTCTGGGAACATTGAGCCAGGGATGTCTGAGTGGAAGCTAACACAGACATTAAAGACAGAAAGGGCCTGACCCAGAAAAAAACTGAATGAAAAGCTGCGTGAATACAAGACAACATTCATGAGGAGATCTAGGTCATTGGAAACATCAATGGAAATGAGTGCCTAATTTAATTATTGCTCCTGATCGCAAGTTGAGCACTGATTGGCTCTCTGACCCAGCCTCCAATTCTGCATCTATCAGATATATCCTGCCTTTTTATATGTTCAGGGCAACATACAAGCTATAATAAAAGTCACAATGAAGCCCTAAAACCAGATGATATCCCTCTGCCCACTGTGACTCACATTGATAGCACCAAATCTTATTAAGACTAGAAACTCCATATTTGTATAAGTGGAAGATTAATCAACTAAGTGCTTTGTGATTTATGAACAATGGCAACTGGTAAGGCTGAAAGTTTTGGTTCTGGTGTACTGATGTAGGCTGCTCCCAGACTTTAAAAATCCCTCCCTAGAGAAGTTAGACGGGCTCCCTTCTTGCTATCCTTCCACCAGCAGGTGAAGAACACCTTCTTATTCCAACTGCTTTTAATGAAAGGCCTGAGGCTATGCTGTTTTTATTGTAATTATTCGTATGGTGTTTTTTTAATATATCTCTTATATTTATATATAGTTTTAATTCTGTAAATGTTTGTTTTTAAAGACGCCCCCCCCCAATGTTTTAGCTATTCCTATTTTATCTGTAAGCTGCTTTGAGTCCCTGTTAGGAAAAAAGGAGAGGTATAAATAAATATATACAACGACTACTGCTGCTGCTACTACTACTAATGATACTGACTTTGATGTGTATAACTGTCCAGAAACCACTTTGCTTTTGTGTTATTTCTTATAACATCTTGGGCACATCCTATACGCCAAAAGGTAGGCATTGCAGTTATAAGCACACTTATTTGTGAGTTAGCCCCACTGAGTAAGAACTTACTTCCAAGTAAACATACATAGGTTCCAATTGAATGGACTTGTCAGCATCCTTGCTACTTGTTTAGAAAAGGGAAGGGAGAGAGGAAAGTGATGCATGTAATATGCCTGAATCCCAGAGGCTGAAAAGAGCTAAAAATAACCTCATCCAGTTTCCTGCTGCAAGAAATGACTACGAACTCATCTCTTCAAACATCACACCAAATCACGCCACAAGCTAAGAACAGGCACATCACAGAAAATTACTATACAACTGATATAGTAATTTGTATATAGTACAGTGGAACTTTGGTTCTCAAACGTCTTGGTACTCGAACATTCCGGCTCCCGAACACTGAAAACCAGGAAGTAAGTGTTCTGGTTTTCGAACGTTTTTCGGAAGCTGAATGTCTGATGTAGCTGTTGGCTATTGTTTCTGGGGCGCCTGCACCAATCGGAAGCCGCACCTTGGTTTTCGAACGTTTCGGAAGTCAAGCGGACTTCTGAACAGATTACGTTTGAGAACCAAGGTACCACTGTATAGCTGTATATTCAAGAAAGAACCGTACATTTTCAGATATCATGGGGTGAGGGAGGAATATCATTTTTTTAAAAAAAACAACCAGCAGCATTCTGCTATGTAAAACAACCTGCATGGAGAAAAATAGCAGAGGTGGTAGATGGGCGACTCTGACCTTTCAGCCTGCAATGCCAGATGCATTTTGGAAGGGAGCCTTTTTACATGTGATGATTTAAAACAACAACCTCCTCTGCAGGGGTACAGTCCATTCTACTACTTCACGACATTCTCTCCATGTCCTCATTCTCTGCATGTGTATATCAAGCCTTAGTCATAAGTAAATTGCATCTGGGAGTTAGCATCGCTGAACCACTGAGAATACATCCGTAACTACAGTAGACTTACACTACTTTTTTAAAAATCATCATTCTTCCTCAACATGAAGCTCGGAAAATTTAGGATTGTCATTTATGTATCGCTCGAAAATAAAGGAAGAATTGATATTCATAGATGTGCATAATTAATTACTCTAACAGAAATACAATAAATTTCACTGTAATGGCCAGGAGCACAGGAAGCTGTTTCATACTGAGCCAGGCCTTTGCTTCACCTGGCTCAGTGTTGTCTACACTCACTGGCAGTGGATGTCCAGGATTTGAGACAGGGCTATGTCCCAGCCCTAACTGGAGATGTCAGGGATTAAACCAGAGACTTTCTGCCTGCAAGACAGATGCTACACTACTGAGCTACTGTCCTTTCCAAGTGACCTAAGTGACTGCAAAGTTTTCTGTCCACAGTCTAACTGTTGAGGGCTACCTTGGAGATGAAAGTTTTCCCTTGTTAGGGTTCTTTTCTTTTAACCATACCTGGACTGGATAGCCCTTCAAACAGAGGGACAGCTGTCCTCTGTCAGTCCTTCAGAGAAGCCTATCCTCTGTAGGTCACAAGGCCACCTTAGCACCAAGGCAGCCAGCAACAATTTGTGATACACAATTAAACTGCTGCCCTAAGACAATCTAGCTTGATCAGATATGTTTGAATGTTGCAAACCAAACAGAACTGAGTGGGTTTTTGAGAGAGAAAGCAACACTCACCGGATCCCGCTCTACACCTGACCCTTGGCAAAACAAACCAACTCACCCTCCAGATTACATCACCTGATTCTAAAATAAGCATCTTAGCGTTCACCTTGACATTTTCTTCCCAGAAAATGCCAGGGCATTTGCGTAGCGAGAGCAGAGCACAGCTGTTTGCATGACAAAACTCTCCTTCTCTGGCATGTATGCCCAGAAGTCCTAACTTCTATGGATTTTGCTTGCAAAGAACTTGAGGAATAGCATCCTGTATTGATTTTCTTTTTAAAATGTGGAGTTATATTGAAAAAGAGGCTGATGCTTCCACCATGGGTAGAGTGGCTGTTCCTCATAGAGATGCACTAGGAAACAAGCCAGGGACAGGGAAACCTCCTCCCCCTGGCCGCCAAAATATTTGCATGGACTAAAGGAAGAAAGTCCATGCTACTCACACACTGACAGTGAACATTTCCTTCAAAGGTCAAGATGGAGATGTGACCTCTCTCACCAATTTGAATTTCACTATGGCCTAGAGCAGGGGTGAGGAACCTCAGCCATTCCGGGTCTGCAAGGCTATTCCCCTCCCCAACCACACCCAACCACCTGCAAATCATAGGAACCAACTCTTAGGGATAAAATATTTGAGGGGGCTGGGGGCCCCAAAGTTGATGGACATTGCCATTCAAATGGTCTTGTGACTGATTACATGGGGCGGGGCTAACCTGCCCCCTCCCAATATTGTATTCCCGTTGGCTGCAAATGTTACTGGTGATACCAGCTGATGGGCAAGTCTTCCTTGGAAAGCCTACCCTGCACGGATCCCTTCAAGCTACAAAACGGATGGGCATGGAGTTGGCTTTCCAAATAACCAGGTTTGCTTGTTTTCGCTGTGTGTGCAGTGAAAGCCAACTGACCCTCTTCCCCCCTTTTATTGTTGCATGACAGAGCAGCCCCTACCAGAGCCAATGTCTAAAATGAAATTTGTGATATCTGGGTTTGAGAACTGAATAAAATATCGGTTTTTAGAAAGTGGAATAGTTTGGTGTTACCTTTGAGTGTGTGATTTGAGTAATTTTCTACATATAGCCAACAGATGAAGAATTGGAAGTTCTCTTTTACTCATTTAGGTTTGTGTTTATTTGGATTAACTACTTCTATCTTTGATATTCTAAAAAATATTGGGTATTTGATGTTAACTTTTGTATGCCTTTTTCAAACTTTAATAAAATCTATGGGTGGAAAAGAACCAGATGCCTTGCATGCAGAAGGTCAGGGGTTACCGTAAATCCCTGGCATCTCCAGGTAGGGCTGGGAATGGCCTCTTGTTTGGAACCCTAAGGAGCTACTGCCAATCACTGCAGGCAATTCTGAGCTAGATGGACCAACTTGGTATAAAGCCATTTCCTATGTCCCTCCAGGACACAAAGGGGTATTAAGTGCCATGGTCTTGCTGTGTATAGTGTGTTTCTCTGTGTTCTTCTATTCTGACTTGCTGGCTCTAATTCCTAGCTCACCTCTGACAGCTGCTAATGACTTAGCCTTGAGAAAAGGGCAGTGTGCATGTAAGGACTGGCTTCAGAAAATGTGCATTTTCATGCAAAGTGCATGCTGTTCAGTCCCTGCTTCCTCTACCACAAGGTCATATAAAACTGTTATGGTGAATGCCTTTTTGCAGTTTAATGAACTGCAAACCAAATCAGATATACATCTAAACACACCTGCACTTTACCTGCACTGTATAATGCTTGCCCTGGAATGCCTAAATTTATAGGCACAGGGAGGATCATCAGGCAAATCCCCATGCCTAATTGTATGATGTGTAAGGAAACGCCAGCCTCCCATCCCCTTCCAGGGAAAGCCAGCTTGGTTGGGGGGCAGCTTAGGGACAAATGGGAGCAGGAAAACAACTCAATAGTATAAAGGCCATCATGGAAGTCTAGTCCCCTTCCATGAGGGGGAAACATCAAAATGGAGGCCTAGCTCTTAGTGAGGTGGCCAATATGTGTCTAGGCTGCATCATTTTCAGGTCACATCCACACCATAAATTTATGGATGTCCTATTGATTTTGATGGAGTTGACTTCATCAAGTGAGCACACCTTAGATTGCAGCCTCAACTTATTTACAACACCTTCAAGTACCTAACTTTGCCCAAGAACAGAAGGGGCATTGAGCTACTACCTCCACCCCCGGCTAGCTTGAATCTTACATCAAATTCATTCTAATATTTATTCCATTGTACATTTGTTTTATTACATTTGCACGACACCTTTCTTCCATCAAGGGACCCAGTATAGCATAACATGTGTTTCCCAGGCCTGTCATTCAGGCAATAACCAGGTCTAAACCCACTTAGCTTCAGCAAGATGCCAATAGCCTTTAGCCAGTAACCGCAAGAACATATGGGTCCCCAGATGTTTCTAGAATACAACTCCCATCATCCCTGCCCATTGTCTAAGATGGCTCAGCATGATGGGAGTTGTAGAGCAATGATATTTCCAGTCCCTGGGGTGAAGAGCACTGGCCTAGAAGTTTAAATACCCATCTTTTACCATCAGCTTGCCCAAGCGTTGGACCACCTCAGCACAGTTGCTAGATAGACACAATGCAGGAAACTAGCAATAACAGCAAACACTGAGTTGCTTCCCCATGAGAAAATGTGTTAGGATTAGCAGGCAGCAGAGAAATGTAGAGATGAGAAAAGACTCAGCTGGGGGAAAAGGGGATTCATTCAGAGCGAAGGCAATGCTGGGTCACAGTAACCATATGCAATCAATGCATGGCTGACAGACAGAAAAAGAACTTCACACCATACAAGAAGCCTAATAGGATGCTGAGGCGAGTAGTGTCTTGGAAACCAGCCAGTCTACTACTAAACTGCAGAGTCACAAACATGGGAGAAGAGGGAAGACTGACAGAAAAGAATCACAGAAGGCCAAAATGCTGTTTCCCAGCTCTTACCTCGTCCTCATATCCATTTCCAAAGGCTGAAGCAATAGGAGCAGAAGGGCTCCCATTCAGCTGTACAGAATGAGGACCACCATAATGGAAAATTAAGGTGATCACCAGCACCATAATAATGGTAAATTAAGGTGGTTATCCTATGCACATTCTCCTGGAAGAAAGCCCCACTGAGCAGTTTTAGATCTGAGTAAATTCCTCAAAGGTTCGCCCTGTATGAAAACTGGCAATCTGATGCATTCTTACTTGGGAGTAAGACACACTGCACTTAAGCAGGACCTGCTTGTGGGTAAATATGCACAGGGTGGCACCCCTTATACTTGACACCAAGCCCCCACTGTACTGCTGGGAAAATGTGCCTAGGACTGGCCTGTAACTTTGCAAAAGTGTCTTGGAGGGGTGAGCACACAAAGAACATCCCCATATCCCATCCATTCATTCCCAAGGGCAAGCAAGATCTCTCTCCTGTCCACCCTCAGGCTGAAAGGATAGGCTACCAAGGCACTTAAAAAAATGCTCGCCCAGTGAAACACGGATGCTATCACTAAATGCAGAGAAGGGCTTCAGAATATGGATGGCAAGGAGTGGGGGGGAGGGGCTGGATGGGGGTCAGAGGCAGAACATCTTCTCATGCAGAAGGTCCCAGGTTCAGTGCCTGGCACCTCCATGCAGGACTGGGGAAAACTCTCTGCCTGGAACCTGGACTGCCCCTGCCAGTCAGTGTAGACGTTGCTGCTGAGCTTAGGGGTCTGACTCTGTATAAGGCAGTTTCCTGTCTTCCTAGGAATATGCTTCTGGAGGGGTGGGTGGGTGAGTGGGAAGGATGATGACGATGCTGATATAAGAGTAAGAATAAGAATAATACTGGACCAGGCTTTGACTCTGATCTTGAGTTCTCCTTCCTGAGGCTCCGGCATCACTTTTTTGGACACCCGCAGCTTGTTCAGTCCCCCGAAGGCAGAGAGCACCACGGCGCGCATCTCCTTCGCGTCCGCGCCTCTCGGGCTGCTGCTGCCGCCGCCGCCTTCGGCTGCCTCCTTCTCGATCATCTGCTCCGTCTCCTCGGCTTTCTCGGCTCCTTCCTTGGCCATGGCGCTGCTCGGAGACGAGGAAGGGAAGGGGGAAGGAGGAAGGGCGGACGGATGGACGGAGGGAGAGATGCAGAAGAGCAAAAAGGCAGAGAGGGCGACCTTCCCTTCTCACTCCGGCAGCCTTTCCCTCTCCTGTTGAATGCGAGCGTGGGCTCTGCGTGAGTGTGTGTGTGTGAGCGCGCGCGCGCGTGTGCGCGCGGCGGGCTGCTGAAAGATGTATGCAATGGCTGCAGTCGGCTGGAGGAGAGAGCTCGGTCCTACCGCCAGCCTGACCATCGCCAAGCGAGTAGAGGCGCCGCCGCCGTATAAATAAATGAACGCTGCAAATAAATTAATTAATTAACCTTCCCGCCGTCCTTGGAAACTTATTCCCCGCAAACGAGCGTGGAGGTGACGAATGGGCAGGTGTGTAAGCTTATCGGGGCAGGGATTTGCTCTCTTTTTGTTGTCAAGCTGTAAAGGGCCTATTGCTTATGGCTTGCATTATATCATCACCATTTGCTTATTACTGGGTGGTACCCAATGATACCTGTTAAAGTTAATGCACACTGTCAACTTGGGTTCCTTGATTTCAGAGGGTCTCCCCTGATTAGGACTTACTTGGCGACAACCCATTATTACTATAGTTGGATTTTGGTGGATGCTGTTATTATTGCTATTGTTGTTAACAACTTCAGGTGCGTTTTGGCAGAGGTTTTCTCCCCCCCCCCCTTTTTTTTAAAATGCTGCCCTTGCTTTTATTAATCTCAGGGTTCTGTATTATTATTATTATATTATTATTATTATTATTATTATTATTATTATTACATATTTCTATACTTTGTGTGCTTTGATGTTTTGAGCTATGGGGAAAGTAGCTGAAGTGTTTTCAAGACATGCCAATGAGAAGGAGAGACTCCTTAGCTCAGTGGGAGTGGACAGGCTTTAAATGCATAAAGTCCTCGAGAACCTATTCAGTCCTTAGTCTCTCCAGGTAGTGTTGGGGCACATTCTTGACTGAAACCCTGAAGAACAGCTACCAGTCGGTGGTCAGTCTTGAGCAGGCTTTCTCAACCTCGGCCCTCCAGATGTTTTTGGCCTACAACTCCCAGGATCCCTAGCTAGCAGGACTAGTGGTCAGGGATGATGGGAATTGTAGTCTCAAACATCTGGAGGGCCGAGGTTGAGGAAGCCTGGTCTTGAGGCACATGGCCTGACTCAGCTTCCTAAGGTAAAGGTAAAGGGACCCCTGACCGTTAGGTCCAGTCGCGGACGACTCTGGGGTTGCGGCGCTCATCTCACTTTATTGGCCGAGGGAGCCGGCATACAGCTTCCGGGTCATGTGGCCAGCATGACTAAGCTGCTTCTGGTGAACCAGAGCAGCGCACGGAAACGTCGTTTACCTTCCCACCGGAGTGGTACCTATTTATCTACTTGCACTTTGATGTGCTTTCAAACCGCTAGGTTGGCAGGAGCAACGGGAGCTCACCCCGTCGTGGGGATTTGAACCGCCGACCTTCTGATCGTCAAGTCCTAGGCTCTGTGGTTTAACCCACAGCACCACCCGCATCCCACATCCCTACTATGCCACATTTGCTAAGGCTTCCGTAACTTTTACAGCTATGCAGAAGATGGGATTTTAACAGATGCAGTTTCTCTTTGCTCTGAATGACAGGCTACTTCTGCTAAAAGTCATCTGTAAATATGAAGAAAGTGGGGGTGGGTTTAAACAAAGGTTGGATAGGCCATCTGTCAGGGACTCATTAGCTCTGATGTCTGCATTTCAGGGGGTTGAACTCGATGACCTTCAGGATCCCTTCCCACATGACAAGTCTATGATTCTAGGTCAGAGAAGAAGAATCTCAGTGCTGGGAGGTCAAATGCAGCCCTCCACAGCTGTCCAACTGCTCCTCAGGACTCTTCCCACACCAAACCTCTTATTGGCTCTGCTCCACACCCTCTTCCAGTTTTCCTTTCTTTCTTTATTTGTGACCAGGCTGGAATGTGTCCCTGAAATGTAATAATGCTTGCTTGGACAGAAAGAAAAATGTGTAGAAACTTCTGACCTTTGTCTAGCTGGACAGTAGCCTTCTGAGCGGTGGCAAGAGTCACATCCATTGCCCCACCCACCTCTATCATGTGGCTCATGGAAGGTTTCCCAGCAGAGAACATGACCTTCAAGCCAGAAAAAGGTTCTCCACCCCTTTACTAGGTTTTCTTAGCCAAGCCACTCCCTCTGAGACTCACCACCTACAACATGTGGCGATCACACAGGGTCCCGGATGTTTCACCGTCTATTGATCCCTGTGCCACCACTTTATTTCTCACTGCCACCAGCCAGGCCCTACCTGGTACAATACTGAGTCCAGACAGGGTTAAATTGGAACATAAACTTTTGTTTATTTATTGCAGTTTAACAAGCGGGTGGTTTCATAAACAATATCGGTCAATTACAATCATGGGGTGCCTATCCAGGGCTATAACTTCCATTACCTGCTCTCACTCACTAAACCACCTCTCAGATATTTACTTGTCTTCTAGCCCCTAACTATTCCTGACTCAGCTTATTTCGCTACACTAACTCAACCTACCCACAAACTCTATCCCAATTCACTCCCACTCCAACCAACCACCCAACTCCCAACGAACTCCTCCCTTTGCCCCTCCCAGAGCTGGGTCCTGATTGGGTAACCTGTTTAACTATTTCACCTCCAGCACTCTCATATGTTAATGTCACACATGTGAATAATAATAGTGACCTACAACAATAAGATGGGCTGTCAGCAATCATATGAGGCTGCCTGAAGTATTAGACCTGGAACAGCTGCCCTGGTCTCTGGCCTGTTGGTGAAAGTTGTTAGATGGTAAGTGCCAGGGGGTGCTTTGGGTGGTGATCCCACACAGTGCCACACTGGGTAGAAGCTAGAGAGGCAGGTACTGGTGTGTATAGCCTACTGTACAGATGGTAGGTGCAGTGGTTAGAATGTAGAACTAAGACTTAGAAGACCAGCGTTCGAATCCCCACTCAGCCACAAAGCTCGCTGGGTGACCTTGGGCCAGTCACTCCCTCTCAGCCTAAGCTACCTCACACGGTTGCTAAAATAGAGAGAAGAATTATGTATGCCACCTTGAGCTTCTTGAAGGAAAGGTGGGATATAAATGCAATAGATAATTAAATAAAGGTAAAATTCACTTTCATTGTTTTGCTCACTTTTGTCTCTGGCATTAAATACACTGGCATATTACACTTCCTCGCCAATATTGTCCAGAAAGAAATGCAGCCATCTTCTGCTCTAGAGTTAAAAGTGGGGAAGTTGATTAATCTAGGCAGCGGCGTAGCTAGCCGATTGGGTGCCTGGGGCAGCGCGCGCTCCCTGCAGCTGGGGGCGGGGTGAGCCAAGGTAGGGCACACTGCGTGGAGCCTCTCTGCAGCCTCCCCCTCAGCTGTAGGGCAGCTGAGGCAGTGGGCAGACGCAATCCCTGAGCTGCTCGAAAAAGCAGCATGGAGTACGCCCTCCCCCTCCGGAGGGACGTGTGGCTCAGGCACGCTGCAGGCCCTGTGGCGTGACACCCAGTGTCCCCCGCCTCATGTACCTACACCTCTGGATTAGGCAGATTCATAGAGCAGAGGGCTGTTGAAGGCTACTAGCCACAAAGGCTGTGCTCTGCCTGCAAAGTTGGAGGCAGCAACGCTTCTGGTTTCTGGACATCACTTGAGGAGAGAGTGCTCCTGCAGTGGCGTAGGAAGGGGTGCGCGGTGGGTGCGGGAGTTATTTTTTTCAAAAACATATATTTTTGCCATTTTGTCACCCCCCCCTCAGTGATGACACCCGGGGCGCCCCACACCCACCGCACCCCCCTTCCTATGCCACTGAATCTAGGGCTGGCTTGCTTTTTTTTGGCTGGGGCCTGCATTCGCAGTTGGCCAAAAGTAAGTGCACACACACTCCACTCCTCCCTGCCTCCTCAGCTGATTCATGCCCCAAGGTCATGCGGTGAACTTCATAGCTGGGTTTGGATTTGAACTCAGGTCTCCCCAGTCCTACTCCAGCACTCAAACCACTACACCACATTACATTGTTTGCACATGTGGCACTCCCTGCATTGCAGAGGGCTGGACTAGATGATCCTTGGAGTCCCTTCCATTCTATGATTCTGCAAATCATCCCTCAGCTCAGTCATGCCACAAATTGCAGGGAAATCACCTTTAAAGTAAATGTATATATGATAACATGGACTACAGTGGCTGGGAAAAGCGCACTCTGCACATGTGAAAAGACACACTCTCTTTTGGGTTGTTATTCCCAACGATCCATCATTGAGCCTTCATTTTTTAAGAACAGTTTCTGTGGTTCAAATTAAGCCATCTTTATATAAGTCTTTCTCCTCTGAACACTCCCTTCCCTTAACTATAGCTACCAGACTAAAAACCTGAAATTACACACCTGTGGACATACTTATCTGAAATTATGCTTTTGAAATGAATGCTGTAGTGGAGGAAAAGCACTCCTGAAATTTTAGCTCATTTGTTCTGTCTGGTCTTTTCTTTTGGGGGCATTTTGCTTCAGGCATGTTGACAACTTCCATTGTCTCAAAGTGTCAACCCACTTAGGTTGGGATTGGGTTCTTTGTGAGCCTCCGTAACATCCATCCTATCTCCTTTCTAATAGGCACCCTGCAGCAGCAGAAAGAAATAATGGAGTCGGTGCAATCAGACCGCATCAAACCCTCCCCAGAACAACAGGAACGTTTTCTAATTGAGCAGTTTTTATTTGGGGGGGGGGAAGGAAATGTAAAACAGGTAATGTGGGAGAAGTCCTCAAATCCTAGGTGCCACTCAGGTGGACAGGAAAATGGATGGAACATGGGATGCTGCCTCATAGCGAGTCAGAACATTTGCCTATTTAATCCTGTATTGTCTACACTGACCGGCAGTGACTCTCTGGGGTTTCAAGCAGGGAACATGCCCAGCGATACCTGGAGAGGCCTGGGGTGGAATCTGGGACCTTCAGCGTGTGAGCCAGTGCTCTGCTACTGAGCCACAGCCCTGTCCTGTGGCTACAGCATTCCCTGACGAAGGACACTGGGCATATGCTCAGAGACACCCTTGTTTTCTTTTTCCTGAAAAAGAAAGTGAAAAGCAACCCCAGACAAATAGTATGGAAACCCAAGTTCACTTTAGATATTATTTGCTTGTTTGTTTATATTTTTTTACCAGCCCTTCACCACTATGCCCCAGGACACGTTACAACATTAGAATATATACAATTATAAAAACAGCTAAAAGTGTTACAATGATAAAACGTGCAATACCATTCTGAACAGAACAGAGCAGCATATTTTGGCACATTAAAAACAAAGCAAATACCACAGCTGCGCCATAGATTAAATAGATGGGTGCACCTTTTCAAGCCCTGGATCTCCTTGCAAGAAAAAGATTTGCCTGTTTATTTCCCCTATTTAACTGGAAGTAACTTCCCTATGTTTAATTGCCTTAAAGGTAAAGGGACCCCTGACCATTAGATCTAGTCGTGGCCGACTCTGGGGTTGCGGTGCTCATCTCACTTTATTGGCCGAGGGAGCCGGTGTACAGCTTCTGGGTCATGTGGCCAGCAGGACTAAGCTGCTTCTGGCGAACCAGAGCAGAGCACGGAAATGCTGTTTACCTTCCCGCCGGAGCAGTACCTATTTATCTACTTGCACTTTGATGTACTTTCGAACTGCTAGGTTGGCAGGAGCAGGGACTGAGCAATGGGAGCTCACCCCATCACGGGGATTCGAACCGCCGACCTTCTGATCAGCAAGTCCTAGGCTCTGTGGTTTAACCCACAGCGCCACCCGCGTCCCCGTTTAATTGCCTTACTGTTGGGTAAACATGCTCAGGATTGGAACCTCATTCTTCTGTGGATCTAGTTATGAGACAGAGGCCTGATTTGAATGTGTGTTTATATCACTTGGTACCTCATGAATTCACAGTTGTCCATGTTAAATAGCTGCCCCCTCCCCCATGAATCAATTGGCTTTTTATGGAGCTATATTGCAGTCAAAACTCAAGACTGTATTTTTTTCCACTCATGTATGATATGGTTTTTCTTTTACAATCAAGTCCTAAAGAAGACTGCATTGAATATTAACCATTTTTAGCTTTCTGGGTCAAAATTAAGTATTTCAGAGAGTTAGTCACTTGATGACATGAATATTCACCACATTCCATTTCCACCATGCATTGTGATGCTACTCCAGTGGCGTTTCCCTCCTTTGTTTCAGAGATCACACGATGAATGGAATGACATCACAATGCCAGCTCCTCAGTCAGGTTGGGCTACACAGTGACATTACTGGTGGCAATTGAGGGGAAACTGTGAATGAGAGCAAGGGAGGGCAATGTAAATTAACGGTTCATTGTTTTTCAAAGGGGGCGGACCTCAAAAAATGTGAGTCATTTTGACTCAACCTTAGTCTGAAATTGGCTCTGAACAATGTTTAGGAATAAATAAGGAGAAACTGCCTTGGCCTTTCCACACATCTGCCACATTACATTGCCTGCTTTTTTCTCTTTCTGGTCCTATAAAACATTATTGCTAACAGATGAAAAATGTTTTTAATTTATGGCATAGTTTGTGCCACAGTCTCTATCCAGGAAAGCTATTTTTGTCTGTTATTATAATCCACTGTCCGCCACAGTTATCGGTAGGGAGATCAGGTTCAGGGTTTGTTTGTCCTCATTATGAAAAGCGGGTCTGCAAAAGCGAGGAAATAAAATATCTTAACTGGCATGTCTCTGTATCAAGCAATCTTGTAATTCACAAAGCTCATTCACAATCTGAGATGATTATTTAATTTCCCCCCCTTCTGTCAACTTCAGTGGACGCTCATCCCCCCCTTATCTGCAGAAGTCAGAGTGAATCATAGATGCAACAAAGCAATTTGCTGTTAGAGCTGCTACTAGAAGCTGCATTTTCCCCTTCAGCTGTGAAAAGACATACGAATGTGCTTTGGAAGCATTTGGAACAATGAAAATGGGTTCCATTATAAATGGAAGAAGAGAAAACCCAGTGCATTCATGTTTGGGGTGAGAGGGCCCCTACCAACTTACGTTTCTGATGGTGCAATCCTATGCTTGTTACTCAGACATGCAATCAAAGAGTAAGTGTACATACGGCCACTGCCTGCAGGTTATGGTCCTTGCCATACAGGCTTGAAGCCTGAATCTGTCAAATCTATTCAGACTCTGAGGCTGAAGCGGGGTGGGTGGGTATCAAAAGACTGCTGAAGTATCCTGGGTGTCTCCTTCTCCTGATGTGCCGTGCTTCCCCCCCCGTCTCCAATAATGTGCAGGATGAGGAGAGCAGAACAGAGGTGGACAGACGCAGTTTGAGAAACATCTGGCAGAGGAGGAGCCTTAGAAGGGGTGGAAGGCAGGGACCTTCAGCCCTGGAAACTGCTCCGCAGGGGCAAGACCTGCTGGGAAGTGTTGCCGAGTTGTATGCTGTCTCCTTGAATCAAGTGTTAACTTCACTGACAACTGACGTTGCTTCTTCAAGATGGCCTGCATCTGACTCCAGCCCTGACATGTGGCTTAGCATTATGGGCAAACCTTCCCATAAGCTTAACTCCAGCCTTTTTACTGCTGAAAAACCAGGATCTGAAATCTGGTTTGTTACAGGCCTCTGAAACTTGTGTTTTAAACTATGGCTTGGTGCTAACTTACCACCCTTCCTTAACCATGGGTTGTTTTACTCCTTCACCCCACATGCTCAGAGACAGGGAGAGAGGTAAGGGGGGAGGGAGGGAGATTGTTTGGTTTGTTACAATGCTTTGCATTTTGGTGTTTTTATATTGGAAACCACCCTATGATCCTCGGATGAGGAGCAGTGCAGAAATTTAACAATAATTTTATTACTATTATTACTATAAATAATAATTACAAAAAGCCCTACAGAAGCCTGAGGCAAGAGCAGCTGGAAAAGAGGCCAAGCTTTGGAGAACAAACCATGGTTTATTTGTTCATCTGTGGGACAACTCTGGTTTGTTTGCTTAAAAAAAAAGGGCTTAGCATTTTGTGTGAACCTGGCTTCATCAGGGGAAATATTCCAGGCAATATTTATTTGGATACATAAGTACTACCTTTCGGCACCATTTTGCAAGAGGAACTGTCTCCAAGTGAAGTAAGACCAGTTGCCATAAGTGGAAATGCAGTATCTGAAAAATGATGATAATGTATAAATTATTTTTGAATTCCTTTGGGAAGGGAAAGGCAAGTTATATAAGGTAATGGGGCTCATTAATTCAAAGCTGCAGAATGACAGTTCTAGTTGGGAATGTCAGACAAAAAATATTGGTCCTCATTTGATTCAGTCTCATGACGTTATCAAAAATACATACATAGATCTTTAGTCTCATCCTTTTGCCTGGCTTCTGCCAGAGGTTGATGAATAAAGCATGCTCCAGGGAATCATATGAAAAACAACATGTGTGCAAATTGGCTTGCATAACTTTGCTCTGAGCAATGAATTTTATTTATTTCATAGTTTAGTGGTTGGTTGGTGTTTTTGTTTTTTAACACCCCCCCCCCCCGTATAAATAAAAAATGAATAAAAAAATTAAATAAGGAAGCCTACTATTAACAACAGAAATTTCTATTGCAGAACAAATATAGGAAACAAACTTTATATAATTCAGTTGTTCAAACATTCATCCGGAAGAATATTCGCTCAGAGTAATGAGAAGTGTCTTACTAGCTCCTTATTATGTAGAGGATAAATGGAGGTGAATTCAATTGGAAGCTAAGATGCATAACTTGTAGCAGGCAGGGATCACCAGCCTGGTGCCCACATGTCTGCTTGTTTTTTAGAGATAAATTTGGGATTCGGAGAGGAATTTTATTTATTAATAGCAGTATGTGTGTGTGGTTGAGATAAATGCACTTGGGCAAAGAGAGAGATGTATGTGTGATCTCTCTGTGTTAACGTGTGAGAGAGAAAGGGAGAAGGAAGGTGGTATGTATGTTTTATGTGGTCTGTGTGAGAGAGGGGAGAGGTAAGTGCATTCATGGTCTGTTTGTATGTGTGGTCTGCTTGATGCAGACATAGGGTGAGATATGTACCAGTTCAGAAAGTGTGAATTAGGTAGGTTCACCTTTAAATGCAAACTCAGTAACTATTTCAAACCATGCTCTGGACAAGAAGCTTTAGACAAAAATGTTTAAAAAGTAGATGGTCATTGTTTTTGACTTGCAGGATTTAAATCACAATATTCTCCTGCAAGCTCAACACTTGGCATGAGAGAGAAAAGAATCCCATCTGCTGCGACATGTTGGGTTTACAGGCATCTTTGTGACACACATTTCAAAACATACAGAAGCTCTTATCTTACCAAGACATCTTTCCTCTTTTGCTGTTGCCTGAGGCCTGGATGTCTCTGATAAAATGTGTTAATGAAGAGCTTGCATAAAATGTTTATGTACGTTTGGCAAAATACGTTTATATATTAGGTAAATTATTATATATTATTTATATGTATGTAGGTATTACCGAATGCACTATACTACAAAAATGTTGAAAATGTTGCTTGCTTCCAAGAGCAAATGGGGGCTGTTTGCAGAAATAGTAAGAACAATCATGTTTCCTCTGTAAATTTTGGTGCAAAACACTCACTGGGCATCGCCAACTATTTGAGACCTATGTTTAACGTATTATGATATTTTGAGTTGATATTTGGCAGTAATTGATAGTTGACGTGATGATATTTAGCATTTGACACTGAATAATAACAGTAATAATTTTAACGTTGGAATAAAAAGCTCTAAAATCGATATGAACATGTATGTCACACAAAACAGTAAAACACAAACTAAACCATAAAATTAATAGAAGTATTAATTAATAAAAAACAGCAACAATTTATCTTCAAGGTAGATAAGAAGCTGTCTTATATCTAGTCAGACAAATGGTCACCTCCAGACTGGATTATTGTAACTCGCTCTACGTGGGGCTGCCCTTGAGACTGACCCAGAAACTCCAGCGGGTGCAGAATGCCGTGGCGAGACTCCTTACAGGGTCCTCGCTGCGAGAGCACATTCACCCGGTGCTATACCAGCTGCACTGGCTCCTGGTGGGGTAGAGGATCAGGTTTAAGGTGCTGGTTTTAACCTTTAAAGCCCTATATGGCCTAGGACCCTCGTACCTATGGGACCGCCTCTCCTGGTATGTCCCACAGAGGAACTTACGGTCTTCAGACAAAAACATCCTGAAGGTCCCAGGCCACAGAGAGGTTAGGCTGGCCTCAACTAGAGCCAGGGCTTTTTCGGCTGTGGCTCCGATCTGGTGGAACACTCTGTCACAAGAGACTAGGGCCCTGCGGGACTTGACATCTTTCCGCAGGGCCTGCAAGACAGAGCTGTTCCACCAGGCCTTTGGTCAGGGCACAGCCTGACTCCCTCCTTTGGCAGTGTTCACAGAACTTTAGCCTAATGGTTGCCATCAATTTGATTTGAATTAATTTTATAATGAAATGATTTTAGAATGTTGTACTATTTTATTGTTGTTAGCCGCCCCGAGCCCGGCTTCGGCTGGGGAGGGCGGGATATAAATAAAATGTATTATTATTATTATTATTATTATTATTATTATTATTATCATCATCTAGCTCCGTTCTGTCTACAGTTCTGGCAGCAGCTCTCCAAGATGTCAGGTAGGAGATATTCCCAGCCCTACATGCTGGGGTCTGAAGCTTCTGCATGCAGAAGGTCCTAGGCTGAATCCTCAGCATCTCCAGTTAGGGATATGAGAGACCCCTGTCCAAAACCCTGGAAAGCTGCTGCCAAACAATGTTGACAATGCTGAGCTTTATGGACCAATAATCTGATGCAGTATGAGTCAAGTTCTTAGGTTGCTAAAATGTCTTGTAAGAAGACCCACAACAAATTTTAAAAGGAACAATCGAAGAGTCTTGTGCCACATTAAAAGACCAACAAATTTATTGAGGCATACTTTTTTGTGGACTCAAGCGTAGTTTGTCAGAAATGCCTCTCAAGTGCACATTACACCAAAAATTGTTGTGTGTATATTAAAAAATGTAGTGTGCCATTGTACCAAATAAATACTTGCAAAAATCACACCAATATGGGCTACAGGATGTTCAGGAGGCTTGTCCAGTGAACAACCACATAAACCCTGGTTTTGCTGCCATGTGATGTAATCTAATGTGTGAAACAGCCCTTACCCCTTCATTTTGGAACTCTGCAGGTTTAGTTCAGGAGAGTGTGCTCAGAATATGTTGATGTCAATAACCCAAACCAGAGTTTCAGTACCAATCAGTTGTAGTTCCATTGTGTGTATATACCCTTCTTGGCCTATGTTGCAGATGTGTGCTGCACCTTCAAAAGGTACCTTACTGACCTTGAGACATATGGTAAACATTATTGGAAATGTTCCTGCCCTGTGGAATGTAAAGGAGTCCCTATAAGCAGAATGATTCCATACAATTTCCCATATCCTTCTGAGAACTAGAAAAATAACCTGTCAGTTGAATTATAACATTTGAAGGCACCTTCCTCTGCCTCAAGCTACTGTGCCTAAATAAAGCTGCAGTGACACTACAATTCCGCACAAGTACATCTGTCGAATGAAACACATTACTGACCTATCAGTCTGTTGATAGCTTGCTATATTGTAGTCTAAGATGAAGCGTCAACTTGCATGGATGAAATGGCACAGCATGTCCTGCCTGAAGCATACTATCACAACACAGCAAGACATTTCAAAAGGGGTCTGTTTGTTTATTTATTTAATGACCCTCCTGGAAAACCAGAATTGCAAGTCCCTATCCAGCATGCACAAGACGGGTGGGGTGGGGTGGGGAACAGTAATGTCAGAAATCTGAAAGCGGAAGGAGATACATCTGGTTCACACATGCATGGCCATTACTACATTTCTACATACACTTGACTACTGTATGTTTGATGTGGTGTTATCTGAATGTGCCAACTGATGGCAGTTATAGGTGCTGCATTTGAGGCATTGTGAATTATTAGGAGACTTTTAGCTGTGATGTGTTACATGAACATAGCCAGGATTTATGTTGGGGGGCAGGCTTCATGCTTTTACGGGGGGAGAACCTCAGTTAATTAAGTATTTTTATTGATTTAGGAGGGGCAGTTGCCTCCCTGCCCTTGGCTACACCCATGATGTGTTATTTCTACAACATTCATATCTGCAGGTCCTCACCAGAGATGGAGGATAAATTCCGTTTGGTTTGCATTTTAATGTGTATCTACCTACTTTGCAAAACATGCAGATTGAAGCATGGCTATCTTTCAAAACCTGCACTTCTCAGAATTTGGAAATGCAGTTTTCCAATCAAAAAATGTGTACAAAAATGCATATTGCTTTGAATTTGGAGAGTTAGCTTGCATGATGCCTGAGTACCTTCATATTCATGGGATCCTGGATCCAGTGAGGGTCAAAATCTAATGGGGTGGTGGTGGTGGATTCCATTGTTGAACTGGTCAGGCAAGTTTATTTGAGAGATAATGACTGTAGTTCCCAGCTAAGTACCATCATTAGTATAACAAATTAAGTTGCTCTGTGCCAAAGGGTAAATGGGTGGGCCTTCATCAGTTTACCTGGCTGTTATACCAGAAGGACAATAGC